GGGGGGGGGGGGGGCGTGTAGAAGAGTGCCCAAGTGTGCTGGGAGCATCTGATGGTTGAGAATGTTGAGATGTCAAGGGTGAATGAGAATAAAGTTGAGGAATGTGGGGAAATGATGCCATGGAGTAACCTTGGGTTGTGAAACATAAGGGAATGTCTGCCTAAGGTTACATGTCAAAAAGGGAAAGAAAAAGGAGACCCTGAGATCACGTGAGTGTGAGACATTATGTGCCCTGGACACAATATCATGTGGATAGCACTATGTCAGCATATTAAAAGGGATTTTATAAAAAGAAATATAATACAGGCAGAAGTGCAACATGTTGTTGGCTCAGTGGAACCCTGTTTGGTAGTTTGTTCAACATAATTTCCATGCGGAATGAGTACATGCTACATGGGGGGGAGGTCAAATGTGGAAATAGACTCCAGCAGGGGTATAAGCTAGTAGGGTCCACCATGCACAGGATGCAGAGGTTGACAAAAACAGGGTAGACACATTTCTTAGTGGGAGAAAACACAGGGGGCATTGATGAAAATAATGGAGGAGTGGGGGAGATGGGAGCCTAGGTATAAGGGAGGGGTGGTAAGAGGTGAATATGGGGGAAGTTGTATCATTGGCAAGGGGGATTGCAGGTACCAATGTAGCATGCAAGTAGCATGGGGGTAGCGTGCAAATCTGCTTCCGAGCTTTGTTTCGGAGGCAGACGGAGGCAGACGGACGTATCCGCTACGTTGGTAGGGATTTGGCACGCTACATTGGTATGTCCCCGTGAAATGATACGCGGACAAAGAACTGAAAATTGATCGATTGAGGCGATTGGTTGTCCAACAGGTACTACGCCTGGGTGCCCATCAGCTCGTTCGTCTACACCTCACAGCGTATTGGATCATTCACAACGACTGAGCGAATCGCCATTTCGGTATTATAGCACCCGCTCATCATACGCCAGGAAGTGCATATAGCCTCGCTTATCGAGTCAGCTCGACATCATCCTCTTCTCCCTCCCACCACCATCCACCTACACACACAATGTCAGCAGCTCGTTCAGTGCGATTGGCAGCTAGGCGGCCTCTTCCCCATTCAATGGGCAAGGGAAGAGTCAGTGTCCCTGTCTTGCTCGTCCGTGGTCTTGCCCAGCCTGTACAAACAGATCGTGTACGTCCCACTTACCTCTCTCCCGCCCCACTCACCTTCCCCGCAGGACACCATCACCCGTCTCCTCTACTCCATCGGGTCCAAAACCGAAGTATCCCGCTACCTTCGTATCTTCAGCTCCTCCTCCCACCCTTCCTCTCCCGCAAAGTTCGCCGTCATCAAAATAGGCGGTGCGATCCTCACAGACCAACTGCAAGACCTCTCTCTCTCCCTCTCCTTCCTCTACCGCGTAGGACTCTACCCTGTCGTGCTACACGGTGCTGGTCCGCAGCTGAACGAGATCCTCGAGAGTGCCGGAGTTGTGCCGGACTACATCGACGGGATCAGGATTACCGACCCTCAGACGCTAGGCATCGCCCGCCGCGTATTTCTCGAAGAGAACCTCCGGCTCGTAGGAGCACTCGAAGCGCTCGGCACGCGTGCTAGGCCCATCACTTCAGGCGTATTCACAGCCACGTATTTGGACAAAGACAAGTACGGATATGTGGGCAAGATCACCCGGGTCGATAAGCGGCCTGTTGAGGCTTCGATCCGTGCTGGTGCGCTTCCAATCCTGACCAGTCTGGCGGAGACGACAGAAGGACAGATGTTGAATGTGAACGCTGATGTGGCCGCTGGGGAACTGGCGAAGGAGTTGGAACCGCTTAAGATCGTTTACCTTAATGAGAAGGGAGGGCTGTTTCATGGTGTCACGGGCGAGAAACTGGACGTGATAAACCTTGATGAGGTGCCTCCTACCCCTCTCCTTCACCCGGGGTCAGAACTAACTGTATGCGCAGGAATACAGCGAGCTGATGAAACAAGAATGGGTGAAATACGGCACCAAGCTCAAGCTGCGCGAGATCAAAGAGCTGCTCGACCACCTGCCCCGCACATCAAGCGTAGCGATCATCCGGCCCGACATGCTACAAAAAGAGCTGTTCACTGACTCGGGCGCCGGGACGCTCCTCCGCCGGGGGTACAAGCTGTTCAAACACTCTACGCTCGAGGCGGTGGGGATCGATAGGTTGCGACAGATCATCGCGGACCGGGACGCGGATGTGCTGTCTGGTCGTACGAGTGTGGCTAGCGAGCTCCAGCTGCTCACGGGGGATGGGTTGCCCTATACAGTGTACGGGGACGAGCCACTCGACGCAGTAGCAATCGTCTCCCACCCCCCTGGCGAACCTGCAGTCCTCCGCAAGCTCCTGGCAAGCAGGACAGGAGTGTTAAACAATGTGTTGGACAACGTGTGGAATGCCCTGAGAAAGGAACATAGGAGGCTGTTTTGGACTGCTACGGTTGAGGAGGAGGTCGTCCCTAGGAATTGGCATTTCGAGAGGGCGGATGGGAGTTTTACGAGGGCGGGACGGTACGGCCCTTTTCCCGCTTTCCTTAACGACGAAGTACTGATTCGAGCTGTGCCTATTGGTAGGAGCCTATTCTGGTACGGGATCCAGGATGCGGGGGAAGTAGAACGCTCCGTCCGCTTATTTGAAGAAAAAGGCCGCATAGAGCGCTCTTACCTCCCACTCGTACGCCGTCCAGGCGGGTCACACAATACAGTCCCATCCGTATCCAACTCGGACCGTGGGACGCCATTCTCTCCCTCTGGCTCGAGGCGGGCGTATAGCACCTCCCCCCCCTCCACCTCTGGGGAAAGGAAACGCCTGGCCTTGATTGGCGCGCGCGGATTTACGGGCTCGGCACTCATCAGCCTGCTCGCCCGTCACCCGCTACTCGAGCTGGCGCACGTCTCATCCCGCGAACTAGCCGGGTTTCCGCTAGAAGGCTACCGGAGTCCGAAGAACTACGAATCCCTCTCACCCTCCGCTGTGGGCGAGCTCGAGAAGTCTGGCATGGTGGACGCTTGGGTGCTGGCGTTGCCTAATGGCGCCGCGGCGCCGTTTGTGCAGGCGATTGAGCATGCCCAGGGACAGGGGGTGGTGCTGGACTTGAGTGCGGATAAGAGGTTTGAACGCCCGCAGGATGGGGAGGGTGGGCAGGGGTGGGTGTATGGACTGCCTGGTGGGCGTTGTTGACTTTTTCTTTTTTGGGAGTTGCTGAATCGTTTTTGTGCTGTGTTTTGTACCATATCCTCCTGAATCGCATGCCTACCTTCGTCAATCCATCGCATCATATCGCATCGCATCGCACCGCACTCCCAACCCGTCCTGCAACGCCAGAACTATACGGCCGGGAACCCCTCCGCAGTGCAAAACGGATCTCCAACCCAGGGTGTTACGCGACCAATACCCAGCTCTTGCTCGCTCCTCTCCTGCCCTACCTGGAGCTTTCCCGCCCGCCGACGGTGTTTGGTATGTCGGGGTACTCGGGCGCGGGGACTCTGAAGGGCCAGGGCCAGGGACAGGCTCTTGGCCGGCCTGGGAGTGTGCCGAAAGTGGACCCGCAAGAATTGGGAGGGGCGGTAAGACCTTACAGTCTTACAGACCACATCCATGAGCGGGAAGCTGCTTTCCACTTATCCTCTCTCTTAGGAGCCCAAGGGGACGGGCATGGGAAGGGGAAGCAACTGGAAATAGCGTTCATCCCTAGTGTCGGACCCTGGTTCTCGGGCATCTTGAGTGTCCTTTCCGCTCCTCTGTCAAAATCGTTCAAAGCTTCCAACATCTGGGAACTGTATGAGCAGTATTACGCACACGAGCGGCTCGTCCGGATCCAAAAAGATCGGGCGTCGCCGTTGCAGGTAAAGGACGTGGCTGATCGACAGGGATGGACTGTTGGGGGCGTACAGGTCCATTCGGGAGGGAAGAGAGTTGTAGTCGTTGCGGGGTTGGATAACCTTTTGAAGGGTGCGGCGACGCAGTGTTTGCAGGTGAGTGCGCGCTGGGTTTTGAGCTTGTGCGCCTGGGCTGGGGTTGTGCGCCTGGGGTTGGGCGGCTGGGGCTGAATGAGTGTTTGTTGTAGAACTTGAACCTTGCACTGGGGTATGAGGAGTTAATGGGTATTCCGTTGGATGAGGAATGATGGGAGCACGCAGGGTATTTAGGGAATAGGGCACGGGACATGGGACATGGGACAGTAAGGATGTGCATTTGATACGTTGGTTCTTGGATAGAAGAAATTGAAGATGGAATTCTTGCTCACTGCGGGATGTGAGCACCTGTCGATGAAGTGCCTCGCTGAGGTGGATAAACATGGTCCTTGGAGATTTTGGAGATATGGTCACTACAGTACAATGACTCTACGACTATGCTACACCCCTATCAGGTGTGAAATGTCCGATGCATGACAGAAGACGAAGCTATTCCCATTGGCTAGTGGTGTGCACATCTCACAGCAAGGCTAGAAGTAGCCCGACACTTGCGGCGCTCAACAATAGCACATTACCCGCCGCGGCGGTTGGAACAGCGACCGAAACCGAATCTGAGCCGGAGCCTGAGCTAGGTGATGCGCTCTGAGTTGCGCTCTGGATCAGCGGGAAACCGGTAGATAGCAGCGAGGACGATGGGGCGTTGATCAGGTAGTTGGAAGAGATCGGTTCAGACGAGTTGAATTCGGTCAGGGTGACCGTTGCGGTTGCACTTAAGCTGTCTCTACAATCAAGATTGGTGAGATATAGTGGGAACACCGGAGGACAGCTTACGAAGGTACGGTGCCTGGGGCTAGTGCGGAGAGTAGGAATGTCCCGCTGGCGGCGAGAACGATATCGATCTCCTGGAGCGAGGGCACGACGACAACCTGCCACAGGTCATACGGATACGTGTCCGTAGAAGTGATGTTGAAGAAATACTCTAACACCGTCCCGGGAGCAGGAAGCGGCACATTCTCTCCGACGACGTACACGGGATATGGGATGCTGGGCTACCTAGGTGCTCAGAGGATATCATCATCTGAAGAATGGGAATCGACGTACAGGATAAAGGAGGATAGTGACCGTTTGGCCGGTTGCGTTTACCCTCGGATCCACCTGCAAAACGATGCGATCTGCTTCAGGCCAGGGACGTGGAGCGCCTCCCTGGAACGGAATCGGGATGTCACTGGGCTCGATTAGACGGATATCTCCGGGCTGTAGGGTTGTCGAATTACTGGTCAGGGTAGGCGACCATATAGCAAATGGGGGGGAGAGCTCTGAAGCAAATTCGAACATTTGGATTCCGACTATTTCCACTCCTGGGTGATACATCCGCTATGTTCTGAGTCTAGAGCACAAGGTGAGGTATGAGGCTAGTCACCATCCATCCATAGCCGTAGTGTGGCAGTTGTTCTGGCAAATACACCGGTTGTTCCCAGCTGCCATTGGCCGAGGTATTTCCAAGGAAAATCATTATAAGATCACTGTGAATTCGCATTCAGACCAGGGAGACGACAGGGTAACAACCAACACACTATATCAGGCCAGACGAGGTAAAGGGGGTCATTGTCGACACCATCAGCATGACAGGCCTGCTCGGCGAGCTCGTCGCCCACAGAAAAGACAAAGGTGCTAGTACTTGGTAACAGGCAAGTAAGAGGGCTGATTTGCGCACGTGCCAAGCCCAACAATACGCCAAGCGATAAGAACAGTCCAAGAGAGTTCATCGCGTGTCTTTGGAATGGGTTGTCCTGTCGACGTGGGAGCTGGAGCAGACATAGCAGCCGCAGCAAATGGTGGCTAGAGGAGACATAGCAGCCGCAGCAGATCAGAGGCGTAAAATCTTTGCCTCCCACAGGTTGCAAAAGGGACCGAACAAAAGAACACCGAGGTGAGTCCCGAGGTTCTATTTTTGATTCTGTAGTTCACACCGCCCCTCACTTGTGCCGGTTATACCTATAGAATTGGGTTTCTCGCTGGCAATCGCCGAATTCGCTGGCTGCTGTTGTGCGCTCATCTTAACAAAGACAAAGTGATTTCTTTTCAAACTGAATAAATGATACAGTGGCTCGTCTAGTGGTTCATATCTGGTCGTCCAAGTCATAAGTCATAAAAACCATCACCCAAACTCTCAAGCCAGTTCCTGTTGGATGAGATCCGCCGCCCTCTCCGCAACTGCGATGACAGGCGCCATCGTATGTCCTGAAACGATCCTCGGGAAGACAGAAGCGTCGCACACCCTCAAGCCCTGCAGCCCATGCACCCGCAGCCTAGTGTCAACAACGCTGTCCTCCCCAGACTGGCCCATGCGCGCTGTGCCCGTCGGGTGGAACAATGTCTCCGCCTTGCGCTTGCACCATGTTGCGATCTGGGCGTCGCTCAGCTTTCCTTCGTGCGCGTCCCCGAGGTTGTATGCCTCTTCTTCCTCCGAGACGATCGTGTTAGGGTCAGCAACGTCGCGCAGTGCCAAGTCCTCTGCGAGCGGCTGAGAGCGCGCAATGCGCATGGCGATCCTCACACCGCGGACAAGGCAGGTGACATCCGTCTGTGTGGAAAGGTAGTTCGGATCAATAGCCGGGTAATCGAAAGGGCTCTCCGAGCGAAGTGTGATGCTCCCCTTGCTTTCGGGCTGAAGGAGATAAGGCATAAGTGTGATCGCGTCCGTCCCCTTCGGCAGCTGGGCTTTGCCGAACTTGACAACACCAGCAGGAACACCCATGATCTCAATATCTGGCGCGCCGGGGTTGGCGTTACACTCGTAGGGGATCTTCTCGTCTTCTTCTTGGAAGTTGAGGTTCTTGTCGTCCGTGCGGAAGAAGGCGACACATTCGGCAAAGTTGGTGGTCATCGTGCCTTTGAGCCCCAGGAGCCAGCGGATGATACACGGCAGTGCGCGTAGAGGGCTGCGGACGAGCCAGTCGAGCGTACGGCCTTTCTTAGCACGGAAGAGGACAGGGACTTGTAAATGATCCTGCAGGTTCTGGCCGACGTGCGGCAGTTCGTGCTTGACTGGGATGTTGTGTGCCTCTAGCTGGTCGCGAGGACCGATACCAGAGAGCATCAGCAGCTGAGGGGTGTTAATCGTTCCGGCGGCAAGGATGACTTCCTTCTTCGCTAGAACAGTGAATCGGCCCAAGCGCTTCTTCTCATCCGCAACCTCGACGCCGACTGCGCGCTTGCCGTCGCGGGAGAGGAGCACACGAGTTGTGAGGGTGGAAGTGACGACCGTCAGATTTGGGCGGGCGAGCACGTCAGGAGTCAGATAGGCTGTTGCGGCGGAGGAACGATGTCCTTTCTGGTCCACGAATGTCAAGAACTGGGAAACGCCGACTGTCCCTCGGGGAGTGTTGAAGTCCCTGCTCCCAGTCAGCTAGGCATTCATGGTCCAAAGTCGAATCAACTCACGGATTGTAAGGAATCCCGACCTCCTCCGCAGCCTGGACGAACTTCCTTGACACGGGGTGTACTTTCCCGAACCCAGTCTTCCAAGGTCCCTCGGTCCCCCTCTCCTCAAGATCGACGTCCTCATGTTCCTTGCTTGGAGTGTACCCCTCGCTCCTCTTCAATGGCTCTCTTAGGCTCTCGTACCCCCACCCCTCGCAGCCCATCTTTTCCCACTCGTCGTAGTCCGAGGGCGCGCAGTGGTGGTAGATCAGTACGTTTACACTGCTGCTTCCCCCAAGGAGCTTGCCGCGGGGCCAGGAGAGCCGGCGGTTATCCAGATGCCGCTGTGGGGTAGTGGCGTGCTGCCAGTCGTAGGAAGACCAGAGTGTCCGAGACCAAGTTGCCGGGATTTTGGACCACAGCTTATTTGCGTTCCTGGTTTTCTATCAGTTCCGTGCAAGAGTAGACCGGAGGAAAGACTCACGACTCGCCAGCTTCGAGCAGGAGAACCTTGGTGCGCCCGTCTTCGCTCAGCCTGTTGGCGAGCACGCATCCTGATGGGCTGCTGCCGACGATGATGATGTCCCAGTCTTGGTTTGCCTGTTCGAGCCAGGAGAAGCTCTTGATGGGGGAGGAGAAGGAGAACATTGTTGCGTTGATTGACTGGTGAGTGATTGGTTGTGAGGGTTTAGAGGGTTGTAGAGTAGTTAAGTTGGCTTAGGGTAGCTGAATTGCTGAGGAATTGGTATGCCGCAGATATCCTCGTCTTTATACCCATTGTCAAGATGGAGGAGTTGAGCGGATTCCCGCAAACTGCAGTCTCCGCAGTATGATCCCATCCTTTCCGCAAGCCCACTGCGGCATCATCCTATTCTCGCAGAAGAGGCAGCCATCAAGCGAGGAATAATGAGCAGAGGAAGACAAGGAAAGGTAGTGACGCAGTGTCAGAATCGGATGTTGACGGTGCCAGCTCCCAAGTACGGTGAGGGCGACCAAAGCCCCGAGCGGGCGCAGTCAGGCTGGGGCGTGACCAAATTCAGGCGCTGTGCAGCTCGGGAGTGAGGCCTGGACTGCTGGCACGGAGTAGCATTTGGAAAGGTAAGTCTGATGCTGCGCTTGATGGCTGGCAGGCGATGCGCCCGAGGAACATCCCAGAGTTGATGAGAAGCAAGACCGACAGGCTTCTTAGAAGCGTTTTCGGAAACGCGGCTCGCTCCAGGCGCCCTTGTCGCTCCAGGACCGGCATGTGATGTTCATATCCTCCGGTGGTGGAGCAGGCGGATCACCTGATTAGCTTCGCGGATTGGTCCGATGTACACCTCTATTTTCGAAGGATGATCAAGAAGGAGGCAGAAAAGCGGTCAATCCATGGATACACATGATTTGCAATAACTTCCCTCGTACTCAGTTCACTGATCCAAGTATGTCCGAACACGGACGTCGTATATCACCCAGTTTATTCAGTCAATGTGCTTCTCTAACATTGATCGGATGACATCGGCACCTCTGTCCGCCTCCGCACAACCTAGTCACCCAACAATATTAGCCTCTCATATCGTCCACGGTAAAACATCGCAAAAGGCGAGGAACTTTACCTTATAGAAGCACCGAGATAACTCCCGAGCCGTCACGTTGGGTTCTACAACCCTAGTCCCGCGAGGGGCGGAAGTGTGCGGCACATCTCTATCAAAACGCGATATCGACGCGAGTCAGCATAGTGCAGACAAGGGAGGGTCTGATCGTACCGGAGAATATCAACCTCCGATATTCCCAGTCTTCAACTCTCCCTCATTGCAAGCCAATCCAGCGGAAGACTGTTCGTGTTTCGGCGATGTGCACTTCATGAAGAAGAATTCGGGGAGGGGATTAGACAAGTTGAAAGTCGGGATTCGGAAAACGAGCCTCTGTTCCCTTCTTCGGCGGAATGTTGACGCCCGCACAGGACAACAATTCTCGACTCTTTATTGGGTAATCGGGCCGTTCTCGTGGTTGGTGTCATTGGATGCCCAGAGCGTAGTGATCCCGGTCCGCACACCCAACACACTCGATCCACCCGTAGCTCGTGGAACGATCGGGGACGAATGGAGCGTGCGGAGCTACGGCGACCTCGGGATTACGTTACCTAACGGTGATAAGGAACCGAAGTGCGAATCGGCCCGCCTTTAGGCTATTGTATGCTGCAGAGGTGAAAGGTTGACGGAAATAATTGGTACATGTATGTGAGGCTCGTCCATGGCATGCATGGCTGCAGCTTATCCGCCATCCTTCAGTCCCCCACAACCAGACCGGCGCAGATCACTCACCTTTCCCATCATTGGCTCAGGAAGCAGTGGAGTATCCCGTGTTGTAGCCAGTCCAGTCCAGTCCTGCATCTGGGAAAGCACCATCTGGGAAAGCGCGCTAGCTACCATGTAAAACTCCTCAAGTCAGCATTCGCCCTGGAGCGATGAAGACTACGCACATCTAGAACTAGTCCGTCAGTGGGGCAGTCTACCGGGCGTTTCGGAACGACTTGGCTTTGACGGCTCACCATCCAAACAGTACAAGTCCCTCGGTCACTCCGCTTCAACATACCCAGCTCAGCAGATACAATGTCACCCTCTGTATCCAACTTCGACTCGGTGATCATTCCTGATCTTGTCAACATGGCGCCTTTCGAGTTGCGGATCAATCCGCTGGATCATATCATCAGTCCAGCCAGTGACGAGTGGCTCAAAGCCTCCGGGACGCTTACAACGAAGAAAATGAAGAAGGCCCAGAAAGGGTTGAACGCAGGGTTACTTGGTTCCATGTGTTGGCCCGACATACAGGACAAGGAGCGCCTCCAAGTCTGCGCGGATTTCGTCAACTACCTGTTTCATCTTGACGACCTCACAGATGAAATGGATGCGATAAGTGCTGGCGGTGTACGGGAGGCGGTCATCGATGTACTCGACGATCCAGAGAAGTGGACGAAGAAAATTTCCAGGCGAGAGGCGCATGCGATCTCCGTTCTGACCCTCGAGCAAGTTTCCCGCACTCCCCACATCGTTTCTGATTCTAATGCTGCTGACAGCATGTGGTTGCGCATCTGTCGTACTGCGACTCCGTTGGTTCAGAGACGCTTCAGAGACACGCTAGAGGAGTTCTTTGTTGCGATCATGGACGAGGCCATAGACCGGAAGAAGAAGGTCATTCGGGGTGTTCAAGACTATATCATTCGTCGCCGCGCCAATGGTGCTGTGCGCCCTTGCTTTGTGTTGATCGAATACGCCAATGGATTTGAGCTTCCGGAGTCAGTGTGGCATCATCCCATTATCCGAGACCTTCAGGATTGGGCTGATGATCTGGTATCATGGGCGAATGGTGGGTTTTATCTCAGTGTCTGCGCGTGTCTATTCTAACTGTTTCTGCAAGACATCTTGTCCTTTGGGGTTGAATACAGTCGTGGGGATACCTCGAATATTGTCATGTCAGTCATGCATGAGCAAGGCCTCGGAGTTCAGGACGCTATGAACACTGTTGGCAAGATGTTTGGCGACGTGGTTGAGAATTACCTGGCTGCCCGTGCTGCGCTGCCCTCTTGGGGACCGGGGGTCGACCGAAACGTACAGTTTTCTCTCCAGGGTTTGGAGTACTGGATTATCGGCTCTGCCGAATGGTGCTTTGGACCCAACGGTATTTTGAGGATGGGATGTTGGTTAGAGACAGTCGGGTGATGGAATTTCAGCATCCATACAAGTTGTGAGTAGACAGACCCAGGATGAACGATCGGGAGCGAATCGAGCGTGCTGAGCTGTCAGCACTTCGGGGTAACGTTACATGGACGGTGATAGGGAACCGAGGTAGGGATCGGCCTGCCTGTAAGGTATTGGGTCAGGTGAAATGTTGAGGAAATGGTCTATACATATAAGGAAGGGTCCTCCACATCCATCCTGCCGCTAATTCGCCGGATATCGGTTACCTACAAGGAGACCGGCGCAGATCTTTCACCTTCCCAATCATCAGCTCTCGATGCAGTGGAATAACCAAAAATGTTGTAGCCAGCCGTTTCCATTCTCCACTCGGGAAAGCGAGCTACTGTAGTTCCTACATAAAACACTGAAAATCAGCATGAGCCGTGGAGCGATTAAGACCACGCAACATCCAGATTAGTCCTTGAGCAGGGGAGTCTACCGGGGGTTGACATTCTCCGGAGGAGATCAGCATCAGCGATGCTGGTCACCGCTCCAGCACCCGTCCTCCATTCCACCTCGGCTCTCGGAAACGTCCTGTTTTCTCTCTTCGCGTATCATTTCGTCCCCTTACCTCGCGCCGATGTGCGGTACAACAGGTGTGCACGACCGTTTAGGTTCTTCTCGGAATGGCTCCGGTTGTGATCTACCATCTAGAGTTTTTGTACCCCTTCGTTCAGTCGACAACTTGAAGATCGGCACGCCCCACGTACGACTCGGGATGTTGAGGACGGCTGCATCTGAAAGGAATATGATCCAGTCATCCGTGAGTGAATGCTTGATGGAAACAAGGATTGCCGCTACTGCGCTACGGATCATCGCTGTCTCTGTGACTCTAGAAACAGGGCTCACAGAGATGATGCCCCACAGGTGCGACAGGCAAGCGCGTTGCTGCTTGAGAAAGCTCTATCGGAGAATCTTTTGCTGCTGGATATTGGTCCTAGATCTGTGAGAGCGGAGGTCAAACCAGTGTGGCAAACGGACAGAGTAGAGACGTACGTCGTATGATGTTGCCAATCACGGAACGGGGAGTTCTTCGCGCATATAGTGTCTTTGACGAAACGATCTCGTGACTCCTATCCATCTCAAATCTCTCATCAATACTCTGGAGCGGTCGCATACGGCACTTACCGTGATGAGCAGGTATATGGGGCTTTCCATCTGAGCAAGTGTGCTGCACATTCTAATTTCGAAGCCGGATTCGACGTTCGAACGACACTTCGAACGAGGTTCGAAAGGCAACATAGTAGAAGGCAACGGACCCTATGCACACTTAGGTAAACTAGGAATGGAGTTAGGATAGTTAGTCCGAAATCCGAAACGCCTCCGAATGTATATAGGGAGGATTCGAGTACTTCGGAACGAGACTTTTCTCTCCCTCACCTTACACTACACCTTTAACTTAGTCATTCTTTCTCCTCCCTCTCTCTCATATTGGGCCATCCGAACCTCGTTCCAGTCTTCGAAGCGCACTCCGAGTCCTCTTTCCCTCAGTCCTATCGATTCCGGTCTGTCCTTTCGATTCCAACAGTCGAGATTCCGAACGCCTTCACCCCTGTCAGTCATATGCACTCACGCCCTGTGGTTCGGAATTAGGATCAGACTTCGACTTCATCCTAGCCATCTCTTCGGAACTGACTTCGATTACTACCAACGCTTCACTTGCAAACCAACCTCTACTCGAGTGGTGCTGTTACTATCTTCCCCCCTCCAGCAGACTTACTCCTGACGTCTCATAGGGAGGTATAGAGTACACAAGACATAGCCCAGGTCCAGAACTGGTAATGATTGCATCAAACCCAGTCGACCTCGATGGTCGTTCAACATCAATGTCTTCGGTGGGCTGGTTGGAGGGCATGATGCTCTGAGTACACCTATCGGGGATAGGAGCACGGTCCACAGGGTAGTCTCGTATTGTAACATAGGACAGTGGCCGGAGACCATCTTGATGATTCTCGCCAAGCCTTCTGATGACGGCAATGCCCAGTCATTCGCATTTAAAGGCCGAGCACGTGAAAAAGGAGTCATTTCCCCCAGGATCCGTTTAAAATTACTTATTTAAGTCTAGGCCAGGTTCCTGCGAGGAAAGCGTCCGAGCTGCGGAGCGTTCTTCTGTGGTAGGAACGTAAGGTAAAAGGTATTAATAGCGTATATTCATTTAGTGTTTGTAGGGTTCCGGGGACATCGGGTACTCGGGCCAGTCTGCCATTCCAAAAACCATCGAGGCGCCTGACGTCTGACCGTTTAACAACCTTGAATCGTTGCAATGAGGATCTGCAGAAATAAAGTCCGGTCTCGATGATAACAATTAGTGGCATGCACAGCCGACTTGTCCCATTAGAGGATCCGAGCTCAGACTTGTCTTGGATGCGTCCTGCGTATGACTTGTGCTGGAGCAGTCAGATCTTATCGCACTGGTGCTACTCGGGCGGCACTAGTGGCCGATCTCTGAAAGTGCCCCAATGATACCAGAACTGGAGATAACCATGTTGAAGCATTGTCGAGCCGGAAAAGACCTCATCCGGCGCCGATATAGTAAGTCTCGTAGCTGTGTAGGAGAGAACAACGGGAAGAACAACGTATGACGATCCCTAAGAGGGTCGGCGTCAATCTTTGTCGATGCTTGCAGTTGGCACAAGGAAAAGACGGCAAATCGACAAATGAAGGATCGTCCAAACTTCTAGCTCCAATCTTTGGCAGTGTTCAATGAAGAAAAGTTTAGATCAAGGTCGCACAATCATAGCCGACAACCTTGCCAGCTCAGGCGAGGCACAGGTCAAGAGATTTATAAGTGCATGCGGGGTAGTGCGCCGCCTCCCGCAGCTCGGTTCCGAGAGAGACACCGACCAAGCCTCGTTCCATAACAAGCTATTCTTTCTCCTGCTCAAGTTGAGAAAACCGTTGCAGTGCAGAATTTTCAAGTCAATCTCGATGGTCGTTCGATATAGACATCGGTAATCGGGGTCGTTGACGCCACGGCGCCGTAGAAGAACGGAATCACGTCACTGGCGAGGTCGATCCTAAGACGATTTTCGCTACCCGTGATAAGAAAAGCACTGCATTGGAAGAGCCGATTTGGGTACCATGCGTTTGGTGGTGGTAGAAGGTAAAGGTTCAGGAAAGAAAAGATCGTCGGTCGGGGCGATCTCCAAAAGCATTGCCCGATGTCCCGATCCTCCGGGTCTGTCTCCGTTTGGGGGGTGATTCTGGACCCTTTGTTGCGGGAACAATTCCGTTGTCGGTCAGCGCGTGACCTTGTAACCCCCACTTTTTTGCTCGTGTTTTCTACGGTTATTTCCAAGTCTGAAAAGCTAACGGCATGAACAGACAGACAAGATTTCAGATCAGATGTCCAATTCTGATTGGTCTGGATTCCAACTTCAGGGTTTAGAAAGAAAGGAAGTGAGGTCACAATGTTGTCATGGGGTGCTGTCACGCGTGACAGGGTTCTCTGCCCTTTCAACATGACGGCCAGGAGGTTCTCACAGCGCGCGACAGCTCCGTGATGCGTTCCTCAAGAGGATTCCCCTTCGTCTTTTACATTCTTCCACCATTATCAAGGCACGGTTTGCCGGTAATTACGCTCATCTCCGCCCCACGCTAGAACCCCACCTCGAGGTGAAGATTGCAACACCGCAGAACCGCATGTCGACGACGTCTGATCTGCGCTGGCACTTCTAGACTCGGCTCAAAGCACCGCAAGGACTTCTTGCATTGCCCACACGTACAGCAATAGATTAATAAACAAGCTATCACACAGCGGCGGCGGCGCACTCTCTGTTTTGTCACCTACATCCACCGGCATTAGCGCCTTGCCGGTAATCAGCCGCCCGAGCCAAAGGATATTGCGCGCATCTGGAAGTCAGCAGTCCGGTCCTAGCGTGTGAAATCTTGCCCAAAGGATCAAACAAGGGTCATCAATCATCACGAGCATCCGGAGGAACGGGTCGTTCCTGGAGCTTCGCGGGACAACCTGCCTATATATCTACTCTGTCCCTTGCCTGTTCTCATTCCGTGTGCAAGATTCAGCGACATGGGTTACGTCTTCTCTCGCCCGTCAGACGTCAAGCCGTTCGCGTACCTCTCCATCCCCGCCGGTTCCCAACAATATGACATCATACTGGTCGGCGCTGGCCCTGCGGGGTGTGTGCTTGCGAACCGTCTAAGCGAGGGCGGCAAATATCGCGTTCTCTTGATCGAAGCAGGCGTGGATAACAGCAAGGAGACGTTCACGAAGATTCCTGCGACTTGGGCAAGAACGCTGTGGACTGGTATCGACTGGCAGTACTATACGACGTGCGTGTCCCTTCTTTCGGAACTATCTTATCTAACGAGAAGCAGCCCGCAGAAGCATCTCGATGGACGCAGCCTATTTTGGCCCAGGGGCAAGGTCCTTGGTGGAAGTAGCAGTATCAACGCTTTGATCTATCACTGTGGTGCACCAGCGGACTTTGATGCTTGGGCTGAAGAGGAAGGTGCGGCGGGATGGGGGTATAAGGATCTTGCACCGTGCGTATTCATGTCATCCTGTCATGACTTTGTTTTGTTGTCTGCAGGCTGATATCCAAACAGATACTTCCGGTTATCGGAGACCTACACGCCTAAAGAGCATCACGCCGACGTGGATCAGACTCATCGTGGCACCTCTGGTCCATGGCAAACCTCTTTCTCCCCTCCTACCCCCGTCTTGCAGAAATACGTTTCCGCTGCGCAGACTGTTGGCATACCGTACACGCCCGACTTGAACACACCCGCCGGGACTGAGGGGGTGAACCAACTGTCGACGTTCATCGATCAGAAGGGGCACAGGAGCTCGGGGGCGACGGCTTACCTCACCCCGGACGTGCTGACGCGAGAGAATCTGACCGTGCTGACGGGCGCACGGTGTACACGTGTACTGCTGCTTGAGGGGAAAGCAGTTGGCGTGGAGCTGGTCGACGAGCAGTCGCGTACTGTCGCGAAGGAGGTGTATGTGAGCGAGGGGGGAGAGGTCATCGTCTGCGCGGGGGCAGTCAACACCCCTCAACTGCTGATGCTCAGTGGACTGGGGCCGAAGGAGGAGCTGGAGAAGGTTGGGGTGCAATGTGTCAGGGATCTGCCGATGGTTGGGAAGAATCTCCAGGATGTGAGTGCTTCTCTCACTACTCGCCTCCCGCTCTCCACGAACATCGCCAGCATATGCATCACCGTCCCTTTCTTCTCTACCAGACCAATGCTCATCCTCTCACTTTTGTAGCATCTCCAAACCTGCATCTGTATCCGTACCAAGCCCGGTCGCTCCCTCGACTTCCTCGCCACCTCACCCCTACAATCCCTCTTCCCCCTCGTGCAATGGATGCTCGGCTTCAAAGGTCTGCTGACTCGGAATGGCGCGGAAGTAGCCGCCTTCTGTCGGATGGATGATCCCAAGTGAGTTGCTCCTCCCGGTATTGCTGTGGAGCATACTCATCTGCCCTCAGGTTCGGGTTCGACGGTCCAACACACGGCGAGTACAAGTCCAACGCGCACCCCGGCACGCCAGACATGGAGATCATCGCCGCACCCGTATCGTTCGTCAATCACGGCGCAGTGAAGGGACCCTGGATGCGAGGAATCACGATTGACCCTGTCCTCCTCCAGCCGAAGAGCAAGGGCTGGGTAACGCTCCGCAGCAACGATGTATGGGAATATCCAGAGATTGAACCCAAGTGTGTGAAAGCCCTTTTAGTTTTGAACATGTACTGAATGTGCCGCTCAGCTACTTCTCCGATCCCTCAGACTACCAGTGTCTAGTACGCGGAGTGCGCGTCGCCTTGCGGATAGCGCGCTCTTCTCCCCTAGTTGAGGAATTCGACCTCCGCACGGGAAAGCATCCGAACGTGTGCAAGGATACAGAAGAGGACTGCTATAATATGGGAGACTCGAAGGAAGAGGATCTAAGTGATGAGGAGATCGGAGAGTGGGTCAAGAGGAAGGCTGAGACGCTTTATCATCCTGTGAGCCCCTCAGCATGTGATAATGCTCGGGCCGATATGCTAATATGGATGGGAACAGTGCTGTTCTGCGCGCATGGGCAAATCTCCTGAAGACAGCGCCGTAGACCTTGAACTACGCGTACACGGTATCGACCGGTTGCGCTTGGTCGACACCTCTGTCTTCCCGCGGATCGTTTCTGGGCATACAGTGCGTTTGTTCCCCATTTCGAGGTTGAGTCGGTGCTGATATAAATACAGACGGCACCGGTCATCGCCGTTGCGGAGAAGGCAGCGGTGCTAATACGCTCGGCGTTGGCGGGAAGGGAGGGGAAATGATGCTTGTACGGTAGTTTGCTTTCGATCACGTAAAGCACTTACGTTGATCTGCGTGTCGGTCTTTGGTACCATATGATATGCTCTTATGGTAATGGCTCAGATTGGAGTGATGTGACCCGATGCTGTCGTGATGTTGTCCAGAATTCCTCTTCTTCTAGAGCTCCTGCAGTAGGTTGTGGAAAGTGATCATGAGGAAGGCGTGTGTCCACTTCATGGGATTGAGGGACCTCTGTCTTGGAACTGGACCTCGAGGAAGTTCCTTCCCAGACCCGTTGAACAGAAAACATATAAGAACAGCGTGCTGGATGACTCTCTCAAGCGTCAGCATCCCTCAACATCTGCCTCAAGTGAGGCTCTACGGCCAGCAGACGTTTCCAATCTCCCTCGTTTCAATATTTCCTACGGTTAACACGTGATCCTCGGCCGACCTCCGACGTACCCTCCGCGAAACCCTGAAAGTCTGCATCATGGACTCGCGGGCTCCGGGGCGGTTCACGGCCGAAAAGCCCTATTTGGTCATGTGACCACGCGCCCATTATGGTTCTCCACGAACTTTATGAGTGTCTGTGTGCGGCTTGCACACCATGACGCACCATTCCTCGGATGATATTCAAAGATACCGGCCGCGGTATATAAAACCGCCAAGGACGGATGACAGATGATTGTCAACGTACAACATAGAAGGCCCACTGTATGGCGACGACAAGCACTACACCAACGATAGCACAGGGCGGGACGAGTTCACGCAGCCGAAACACAGCGGACGAGGCTCCTGTAGACTCACCCCCAGTATTCGAGGATAATGGGATGAATATAAATGAGATGGGCTCGGCAGTGGAGATATTGGAACAGCTAGATGGTCAGACGATCCGTGGTGGTGACGAGACGTGCGAACCGTCGACTCCCCCATACTCGGGTGCGCATTTTCATATAACAACCGAGCACGACGGCTGACATTCTCGTAGTATTCAAGCGCTGGGAGATATGGGTAATTGTTTACCTCACCTCGATCGCCGCTCTCTTTTCCCCGCTCAGCGCCAATATTTACTTCCCTGCCATACCCGTCATCGCCCAAGCGTTCAACGAACCCGTCGAGCTCATAAACGTCACCGTAACGGTGTACATGATCCTTCAGGGGACGTCACCGATGGTATGGGGGAGCTTGGCAGATTGGAAAGGATGCGGGAGAAGACCGATATACCTTGCGTGCTTGCTCCTTCTGTGCTTGAGCTGCGTGGGGCTCGCGTTGACACCGACGACAGACTATTGGCTGCTTGTCTTCCTCCGATGTGTCCAAGCGGCTGGAAGTGCGAGCTCTGTTGCCATCAGTGAGTCATGCTCCATTGGTCGCTGATATGATATTTCTAACTCTGTCGCTCAGGTGCTGGCACAATAATGGACGTAGCCGCGCCACATGAGCGCGGCACGATGCTCGCGATGTCTTCCATCGGTGCACTTGTTGCCCCCTGTATCGGACCCGTGATCGGCGGCCTACTAGCAGGTAACCTCGGCTGGCGTTCCATCTTCTGGTTTCTCTGCATCTGCTCTGGCGTCGTACTTTTGCTCGAAGCACTGTTTCTCCCTGAAACCCTCCGGACGATCACGGGTGATGGTAGTGTGCCGGCGCAGAAGTGGAACCGGCCATTTATTCCGGTGCTTTTGAGGGATGTGCAAGATGAAGGGAAGAGTCCCGACGCGGTCAGGGGGAGGAATAACCCCATCGAGATTATCAAGAGTTTTAGAAATATCGACCTTTGTATCATTCTCTGGTCAAACGGTGCGCTCGTTTTCCACTCTTGTAGAAGCTGTATTGAAACGTTGGTATTTGTATAGCGGTTCCATATTCAGTGCTCTACGGCATCCTCACGACCATGTCACCCACCTTCTTGGCTGTCATGCCCTCACTAACGGAAATCGATCTCGGCCTATGCTACCTCTCCATCGGTGCGGGCGGAATTGCCGGTGCCCTCGGCAGCGGAAAGCTGGTCGATTGGGACTTTCGAAGAGCCAAGAAGCTTGCATTACAAAAGCAAGGGATGAGGACCGAAGACGCCGCAGAGAAGGCGACCGATATAAAGGGATCGAGCAAGTACGAGGGGATAGAGTGTATCGAGCGGACGCGATTGAGGCTTAGCCCAGCGTACTGGGCTAGTTTCGTGGTGATCGTGATCGGATACGGATGGGCAGCGGAGAGGAAGGTGCATATTGCTTGCTTGTTGATATTGCAGTTCCTTGGTACGTTTCTCCTTTCACGTGCAAATCACCGTCCCTGATGGTGTCTTCCTAGCCATGTTCCAAGTGACTGCGATATTCACCCTCAACCAGACGTTGCTAATGGACCTCTTTCCCGGACGCGGTGCCTCCGTCACGGCATCGAACAACGTCGTCCGTTGTCTTACGGGTGCCGTACTCGTCTCTATCGTGGATTACATCATCAACGGTGTCGGGGTCGGATGGACGTTCACAATCCTCGGGGCGTGGTGTGTGATTACGTACCCGTTAGTCATGCTGGAGATGGCTTGGGGACCGAGATGGAGGGAGAGGAGAGCGGTTAGGGAGGAGAGGGAGAGCGAACAGAGGGAGGAGAGACAGAGAGAGAAGAGGGGAAAGAGAGCGTCGCACCACAGTTAGATGTCATATCGTCATGATTTGCCCTTAGATACATATCGCTTCACCTCCATAGAAGTCTTGTAGATTTTCCAAGGACGTTACCATTTATTACATAATAATCCCGACTTAACAAAGACCGTCTGCCGTAATTGTTACTTTGTCGGGTGAGACTGTAATCGCTTGGCAGCCCTGTCTATACCCTGCAAAAGAGTAAAACCTGGGCTGGGTAGTGTGCTCACGTGATAGTGACGTAAGAAAACACGTGACTAACCATAACGCCACCCGGTGTCCATGATGAGCACCCTCATGGGCAGGGACAGGGGACGTATTTTCTTCGTTGGTCTGCTTTGCGGGCCATGCCCGAATTATGGATTGCTCAGTCCCCTCAGCGTATTTATACTGTTCCAGGTGAATTTATCTGCGATGTACAACGCCTCGTAAACAATAACAGTGCCATCTATGGCGACACTGAACTCGCCGCAAGGATCTCCAGAAGGACCAACATCATCACATTCTCGGACACGTGAGGACGAGTCTAACGACTCCCCTCCAGTGGTCGAAAGCGACGTGATTAACACAAACGAGGTGGGTTCGGTGGTTGAACCATCGGAGCAACAGCTGGATGAGTGCCCAATAAAGGGAGAGGAGGCCTCGGCTGGAGAGCAATCTGACACTCCACCACCACCATATTCCGGTTCGTTTCCAGTTCGATGCTAACTAAACAGGATGAGGTTGACATTATTTGCAGTATTCCGTCGATGGCAAATATGGTGTATCGTTGTTCTCACGTCATGTGCTGCGCTGTTTTCCCCCCTGTCAGCGAACATATATTTCCCTGCGATTCCGGTAATCGCCACCGCGTTCAACCAGTCGATCGAAAATATCAATGTCACCGTCACGGTATACATGCTGCTTCAAGGCACGGCACCAATGGTGTGGGGCAGCTTAGCAGACTGGCACAAGTGCGGAAGAAGGCCGATCTATCTCGCTTGTCTCTCAACACTTTGCCTCAGCTGTGTGGGTCTGGCCCTAACACCCACATCGGACTATTGGCTGCTCGTTCTGTTGAGATGTTTGCAAGCGGCTGGCAGCGCAAGCTCGGTGGCAATCAGTAAGTACACTCCATGCGATCACTTGCACTTAGGAGATGAATCTGTGCACAGGTATCGGAACAATCATGGACATCGCAGAACCCAGCGAGCGCGGCACGATGGTTGCAATGGCGTCAATCGGCACCCTTGTCACCCCCAGCATTGGCCCTGTCATTGGTGGTGTTCTGGCAGGCAATCTTGGATGGCGTTCTATCTTTTGGTTTCTTTGTATCTTCTCTGGTTCGGTGATGATCCTTGAAGTTGTTTTCTTGCCAGAAACTCTCCGTGCAATCACAGGAGACGGGAGCATCCCCGCCCAGCGGTGGAACAGGCCATTCATTCCCATACTAATGAGTGGAGCAAACTACGAAGGGAAGAGTCCCGATCCATCAAGAGCGAGTAACCCACTGGAGATCTTCAAATGTTACAGGAATATCGATCTAGTTCTCCTCTTGTGGTCCATTGGTGGGTGCAATGACGTTGTATTTCGCTTCCTCCGAACTGATGAAGAAAAATAGCTGTCCCATATGCGGGACTATACTGCATACTAACTACAATGTCCCCTACCTTCCTTGCGGTGATGCCTTCCCTCACAGAGATTGACCTCGGACTGTGTTACCTTGCCACCGGCGTGGGCGGTATCGCGGGCTCTCTATGCGGCGGGCGGCTTGTCGATTGGGATTTTCGACGAGCAAAGAAGCTCGCTCTGTTGAAAAAGGGAATCGGGAGCGAGGAGGCTGCACAGATGGTTGCTAACGCTCGCGGTGGAGCCAAGTACGAGGGGATAGACAATGTCGAACGAACAAGGCTGCGACTGAGCCCGATCTACTGGAGCATCTACGTCATCATTCTTATCGGGTACGGATGGGCAATAGAGCAAAGGGTGCATATTGCGTGTCTGTTGGTCCTTCAGTTTCTTGGTAGGTCGCCTCTGAATCTTACATGATCAAGTTCTCATATTCCCATCAGCCATGTTCCAGCTCACCGCGATATTCACTTCCACCCAAACGCTGCTCATGGATCTCTTCCCGGGTCGTGGAGCGTCTGTCAGTGCCTCGAACAACCTCGTTCGCTGCCTGACGGCGGCCGTCCTTGTTTCCATCGTGGACTTCATCATCAATGCTGTCGGATATGGGTGGACATTCACTATTCTTGGCACGTGGTGTATCGTCACGTACCCGTTGTTAATCCTGGAGATGGCTTGGGGATGGAAATGGAGAGAGCGCAGGAGCGAGAGGGAAAAGAAGGAACAGGAGAAGAGTGAGCGTATGAGTAGCTCATGAGATGCACGGGATACAGCTCTCATTAGGGAGACGCTGTAGACATGAGATTTATATCCGTAGACATGTGCATAAGGACTTGAACAATATCTCACACCACGCATTGTGTCGAACATTCCAATCTCTCCGATGACTCGCTTTACCCAAAGAAATCAGTGGCAGTGCAAGGAAGCGCGCGCGTTAAACGCGTCCCTTGTCCGTTTCTCGACATGACTTGGCTTTCCTCTTTCTTATCCAATGTTATCCCCCTCTCAACTTTTATAACTGGGTCAATTTCTCAACAATATACTTAAATACCAGGTCACTCCATGAACCATGGCTCCTGGTGTGGCCAGAAAGGGCCCAGCGACAAAGAAAGGCAAGACCGACAAGCCGACCCCTAAGCATGTGCAACTTGGCCTCGCTCCTGTCCATGGAACTCAGAAGCCGTTAAGGCAGACTTCTCTGGTGCGAAGTTATATAAACTGCCAGCTGGATACGTGGGCTAACTAGGCTTGTGAAAGCCCAGATTCTCGGTTCCTATATCTCCGTCATCCTCTCAGGACGTTGACAAGACCACTCCTGTGCGGGTTGAGCATCCAGCGTCCTCTCCGAAGGGGAAAGAGAAAGCGGTTGAGGTAGACGATGACAGTACGTCTATTACTAAACCTTGCCGTGACTTATGCTGAGGGTTATTTCAGATAATCAAATGTGGGTGGACAGATATGCGCCGACGAGTTCAGTACGTGTATGCACACAATGGTCCCTCAGCTAGCCCTCATTTTCGTAGGAGAACCTTGCTGTCCACAAGCGCAAGATCGATGAAGTGAGACATTGGCTTGACGAAGCGATTACTGGTGGTCCAACCGGCAAGTTGAAGAGATATCGTGTAAGTGCTGCATCTATCGCTCCGCAATCAGTGCTTACAGGGAGAATTAGAGGCTCCTCGCGTTGACGGGTCCTGCGGGTGCCGGAAAGACGGCCACAATTCAAGTACTTGCGAAGGAGTTGGGAATTCAGATTACCGAGTGGCGAAATGATTCAGACGTGCCTTTATTCCAGCCTCTCTCGCACGAGAGTGAGTCCCCCACCAAACCAGGTGGATTACCTTCGTGTCTGATGCCACCACAATATAGGCTTTGAATCCTCATCATTCCGCTTCGAGACTTATCTATCCCACACGCATTCCGTTTTGCCTTGGAGTCCTCCCAACCCTTCCACCGCTGGGACGTCCGCTGCTCGGCTTCTGTTGCTCGAGGACTTGCCCAATGTTTTGCATGCCGATACCCGTCAAGCATTCCAATCGTACATACAGGGTTTGGTCGAGAGTGGTACGGGTCCACCTATAGTGCTGATTGTGAGTGAGAGTGGGTCAAGGGCAATGGGGGCAGACACGTGGAGGAGGGAAGAGAAGTGGGACATTAGGAATATCCTGGGTCCCCGGTTGATGAATAGTCCTTATATGATGGAGATTCAGTGAGTCAATATGTCACTACCTTATTTTATCTCATCAGTGCCAGGTTCAATGCAGTGGCCCCGACCATCATGCACACCGCCCTCTCACGAATACTATCGCAGACGCATCCAACGCCCGCTAGCTTACGACCATCACCGGAGACTCTAGATATCATCGTGGAAGGTTCAAATGGGGACATACGAAGCGCTATCAGTGCGTTGCAATTTGCCTGTCGGTTGCAGATGGCGGAAGGGGTCAAAGGCGGAGGAAGTGGGAAAAGAAGGAGAGGAAAGAAGGGAAAACCTGGAGATGAGGTCAGGAGAATGTAAGTGACCAACTCTCATATGGAGGCATAATAACTTATTTGGATTATTAGAATTGAAGGTCTTACACGGAACGAACAAATACTGGCACTTTTCCACATCATCGGGAAAATACTGTACAATAAGCGTGAGCTCGATTCCTTCCTTTTATCGAGTAGTTATTGACAGCAAACGTATAGGATACGGTGATCCCGAAGAGAAGGAAGAGCAACACCCTAAAGCGTTGGAAGAACATGCTCTTCCTCTCCCGCCCCATCTGCATGAGTTTCGGCGGCGACCCTCAAAGGTTGATCCAAACGTACGTTTCTCCAATTGCGCGAATGTCTTATATGCTGAGTCTGCCCCAGGTGCTATACGCCGATTCTCCTGTAGACATTTCTTTACTATCAACCTATTGTCATCAGAACTATCCGCAGTTTTGTACTGAGATGGACGAAATGGAAGCAGGCGCGGAATGGATAAGCTACAGCGAAGCATTTTCATTAGATCCAGAAGTATGTTGCTCATGCCTACGGATGTATGTGTTGTTCATGACAATGCAGCATTTCAATCCTCAACTTCCTGAATACGCATTTCACCTCCTAATCCGTGGGATGCTGATGTCTCTACCATCGCCCGTTCCAAGGCGCAATCAGAAGTTACTCAAAAGCGCTTTCTGGGAAATCAATCGAAAAGAAAGGGATGCGCAGGAGTCACTTCGATCATGGTCGCACCACAATCTGGAAGCTGCCCGAGAGCACCGAAGTACCGAGATGCTGGAACGGGCATGGTTGATGCGACGTGTTGGATCAGTACAGCCTAGGGAGGTGCTGGAACTAGCTTACATGCCTTGGATGCCGCCGATACGAGGCGGTGAAGTTGGACAGCAGCTGCTGGAAGGAGAAGTCCCAGATATGGAGCCGGACATGCCAATTTCCCAACGCCACAAGGTGGAAGTGGACGACGGCGAGGATCAGGAAGCTGAGAACGGGCATTGGCTAGAGGACGACGACATCGAGAGCGAGTAGTCACTTGCGTGGAGTTGCACGAGGCGATGCCTACATGCTGATGTATGCTTACGAGAATGCACAGTGTGTTCAATAAGAGAGCGTTGTCTATCGTGAAGTCCTGGATGGAACCAGTCCACGATCCCATGGAATACATTTTTGGCTCGGAAAACAATACATGGAATCAAAAGTAGACAAGATCGAACTCGGCAAGAACCTCGAGGATGACAGCTGTCACTACAATGAGCTGTGCTTATCTCCCTCTGTGACCTCGATCATGCTCACCAGAACGAGGCCTGCAGATCACAGCTTGTTCCCGGTCCACTGGGCAGCCGCTGCCCCACCCAGAAGAGCGACCATCCCCTGATTGGTGCCGAACTTCACTCCTTGGGATGACGGCTTCGCCGATGGCTTTGGCTTTGGTTTGGCATTGGACGTCTTTGCCTCAGATGCTTGAGCAGGCGGTAGCAGCGCCTCGGTAGAGGGTGACGATGTCGGGTAGTGTGCGGCCATATCGGCGTTGGTGTCGAATCAGTTTGTTTTGCTGCTCAAGTTTGAAGCGTTGCGAGGCGCTTTATATCACTGCTTCTACATCTCGGCTGACTCGTCATGACTCCGCCGCAATGGGGACTGCCTGCTTGGCGCTTCTCCGCAGTGTGGCGAAGCTCATCGATATCGCTGATGAGTTTGACTGCCGCAGATCGGGCGCTTAAGGATGACATCATTGATACAATGACTCAAGCTTCCCTGAGTTGGTCAGGCTCGAAGCCGAATGGCCTGACAAAGACAGCATCATCGGGGATTTCGGAGATGTTCGTTACACGTTTCAGTTGCAGCATCTCATACCCAAAAAAAGAAACGACTTGTGGTTGTCGTACACGTTACAGACGAAAAGACATGAATACACCGGGCAGAAGGAGACGGGCAGTACAGCAGTACAGTAAGTACAATAACGCTTCGATCATCTTCAGACCATCCAGAATCCCGAAACTAAATTTGTCGCCTAATGCAGATCACATTCTCCCACTCCGACCACCACTCTGGATCGACGCCATACCATACTTGTCCATGAGCAGCGCGAGCGCCTCGTCCCTGCTCATCTGTCCGCTCGGCTTCTGCGGCTGCTGTTTGGGATTAGGCTGCGGGTGTTCGGACTGAGGCTGCGCTTTCGCGGGCAACGGCTGGGTCTTGTCCTTCCGGCTCCAGAATGATTTTTCGGAGGGCTTGGATGGCCGAGCGCTCGGATTCGGGACAAGCGGAGAGCCGCCGTGGATGCCCATTCCGCCTTGCATGGATGCGACAGCGGCGAAGTAGTCTTTCTGCGGCTTTTGCGGAGGGAGAAGTGCCTCGGTAGAGGAAGAGCCGGAACGCGAGGAATAGGAGGCCGACATTGGGTTGTAAGGTTGGGTAGTGTGTGTGCTGGCTTGTTGACACACAATAAGGTATGCTGCGGGGGTGCTGGTTGCTCGGATTGCAGTTGATTGCCTGTCATGGACTGCAAAAGTACCTGTTATATATTCTCGTCATGGGCTGCGCCTGACGCCCAGAAAGCATAACACATGTGTACGCCCATCCATTACTCAATGGGTCAAGCGCCCAACTAGATTCGTCAAGCACTGCGGGAGAGTCACAGCTTTGTCAAGGGCTGTCAGGAGACCTCGGCTTGCGAATCGAATAGAGTGGGAAACAGGTCTCATCAGTTATTGCATTGTCATGCACAGCGCCATGCCGCAGAAGCAGGATCCTGGACGAGCTCGAGGGAGATGAATGACTGTGTCCGAGTCATAGTGACGCGTGACTCAATGATATTATTGTTGCCATGCGGTGCAGCGGAGCGGCGGCAGGCGCGCGTGGTAATCAAGTTAGTTACGGCCGGAGATTCTTCGAGAGATTTGATCCATGGGGCGTATTGTCATGCATAAGGAGAATAACATAAGCGCTGGGCAAGGCTGCGCAAAGAATCGTCGAAAATTTCCACTCTACGATGAGCGCATGGTCTGTGCCGTTGCCAGCGTTTTCGGACATGTAGACCCGCTCAAACTGCTCGCGTTGTTAGATCTGACAGCTTTGACAATGGACTCCAATCATATCCTGAGCAAGATGGTCGACAGTCGTATAGCAAGAGGTCGTAGAACCGATGTAGAGGCTCCGAACAGGCAGAGAACGGGGTGGAAGGTGTCAGAGCGTCGCTTAGCGGAATCAAGACGGCTTATGGCCTGCAGGCTCATCCTTCACTTTCAATGCCAACATCTCTCAACTCTCTCACAACAACAGTAAACAATGGCTGACAAAGTTCTTGATATCTTGCTTGTGGGCTATGGGTCGGTGGGCATCATCTGTGAGTATTTAAAGGTCTTGTGCGTATCGAGTGCTGATTGCAGGTAGAAGATACTTACGTGCTCGAAGCGTCGAAGAAGGCGCGTGTGACTGTTGTTGCTCGAGGCAACTATGAGCAGTTAGCTGGCATGTAATGTCCGGTGCATGAGGATAATACTAATGTGATGTCGGATGTCAGAGCAGGGCGCAGATATCCAAAGTGAGAAGTATGGTGATCACCCAGGTTGCAAGCCCCACCAAAGTGCGCAACTTCTAACTCGGGCGTCGACCTCTGCTGACTCTGCGCAGCGCTCCCCAGCGTCGTAGCCGCCTCTGCATATACCTACGACTACGTCCTCCTCGCGACCAAATGTCTGCCAGATGTCCTCCCAACCACCGTCCTCCTCGCACCCCTTCTCACTGCAGAGTATGTAAAAGCACACGGACTCCCTACGTTTGTGCTACTGCAGAATGGGGTAGGAATCGAGCACGACCTGGATGAGGCAGCTAGAAAGCTAGATCCAGAGGCGGTAGTGCTGAGCGCGGCGGTGTATATCGACTCGAACTTGACAGATGGGAGGGCAGGGATTGTCCAGACGGGGCCTGTACGTCTTCCTCCCCATCTTGCTCTTGCCGTTTCTCATCGGCGCCTCGACTAGGAACGCCTAGCCGTAGGAGTCTTCACTGGCGTCGGGCCCTCCACCACCCGCCCCGCGTCTCCCAAAGCCGAAGCAGCGCTCGCTACCTTCTGCTCGCTGATCACCGGAGGTGGTGGGACAATCTCTGCCGAAAGGAACATTCAGCATGCCAAGTTCCGGAAGAACATCTGGAACGCATGTGTCGCCACTCTATGCGTCCTCTCCCGACTACCGACACCGGCCTTTAGCTCCACCCCGGAGGTGACGGCGCGCATGCGGGAAGCTCTTGAGGGTGTGGCAGGAGAGATCATCGCCATAGGGCAGAAGATGGGGTATCCGATCGAGACTGAACACGCGAGGACGATCGCGAGAGAGACGCTGGACGAAGAAGATGGAAGGACGACGGAGCTTAAGCCGAGCACGCTGGTCGACGTCGAAAGGGGAGCGCCGATCGAAAGTGAGATTATCGTTGGGAGCTTGGTTAGCTGGGCAGAGGAGTATGGCGTGCCTATACCTAGGTACGTGGGTCTCTTTCCGTACACCGAGGCAAGCTGACACGCCGTGCAGGCTTCAGATGATTTATGCTCTGCTGAGCGCCATACAGGCGCAGAATACGAAGGCATGAAGGAACTTCCCGAGGGGGAGAGACGATGCACAAGTTTGATAGGGGTCATCATCTTCTTTTTGTAGATTGTCGCAACATAGAAAAACCACATCATCGCACATCCTACATCTACACAACATCCGGACTAGAACAGCACCAAATACCCTGGTCATACACTCAGAATAAGCCCTCAAGATCCGCAAACGGATCCTTGCCCTTCCCCGTCCCACCGTTTTGTGCTGGTACGGCTGGTGCTGTTGGAGGCTGCATAGGCTGCATGGGTGGGGAGTTAAAGGGACCAAACGCGTCCAGGCCGGAATGCTGTTGCTGCGCCTGCGCCTGCGGCTGCTGCCCGGTGAGCGTAGGCGTGCCTGTCCGACTACTCCCCTGCGGGACGCTCATTGTGTGAAGGTTGAAGAACCCAGGATGGGCAGGACTAGCTTGATTCTGTGGTTGAGGAGAGAATCCATCAGAGCCCGAGAACCCGGACAAGCTCCCCTGAGGGGTGTGCATCCCCCTCGTGGTTGAACCCTGAGAATAGAGGGAGGTGATCTGAGCTGGAGTAAACGGATGGTGCGCTGCTGCCTGCACTGGTGCTGCTGGTGCGGGCCCGAAGAGCCCAGCCAGGTCGTCGCTGCCGCTTGTTTGTGGAACTGCGGAATGCTGTTCGGACTCGTCGAGCGAGATAAGGTCGATGGGCTTTGCGGCAGCCGGTTCTGGTGGTGGACTTCCTGCGCCGAGCCTAGGGACAGTCAGCTCCGAAGTTCATAGCACAAGACAACAGTACGTACACTCCGCCGTGGATCTCGACTCCTTGGACGCTGAAGTCTCCCCTGAGATAGCTTTCGTACCGGTTCAGAACAGAGTTGATCAGATCGTTCAGCTCTAGGCACGTCTCGAGGACGTGCGGGTCCTCGGAGCTAGCACTTTCCGCGTCTGAAATCCACTTCTGGATCTTTGGACGTGCCTGTCGACAGATCGTTGCTACTTGCTAGAGTGTCTGAGTGTCAGATGCGATGGACGATTGGGAAGGGGATATAGCGCACATCATACGCGTCTCCCTTTGCGAATCGTTCTCCCGGTGACGCATTATTCAGCAAATCGTTGAGTAAGATAACCTTCTGTTGAACTTTCTCCAGCTCCTTGAGGGTCTGGGAGCGGTAGTCCGGCTTCGCATCGGGGTTTGCACCAGCCATGATCTTCATGAGCTCTTGCGCCGCTGCTAGGTCTCGTGGTGTGCCGCGACGAATGAGCTCTTGAAGTTTCTATTCTAACTGTTAAGTATAGGACGCATCAGCCTGTGAGATACGTACGGCAGCCTGAGCCTCGCGGTCTTCTTCTTCCAGCTCGTCTGGTGATTTGAGATTCTCGGTTGTGGGAACGAAGGATCGGTTCGTTCCTCTTGGTAAATCACGGAATCGGTAGCCTTGCCTCGATTTCAGAACAGTTATATTCCATCGGTTCGAATAGCTCACCCTTGAATCCCAGCAGCCGATGCATATCCCGAATGTTTCCAAGGTCCTCTTTCCATCTGCTCTCTTTACATATCCCCTCCCTCCAATCGTTTATCACCTCTAATATGCGCGTCATGACCGGGCCGGGATACGGTGGAGGGCGTTCGGGGAATCGTCGTACGAGCTCGTTGAGGAACTCCTTCGTAGCAACCTGAAGATGAAAAGGGTATCCAACGCTCTGAACAAGTGTTTGCAGAAGCTTATGAAGATGTCAGTGGGGATAGAGCATGGGTTGTTCAGCGAGACGTACTGTCAATGCAAGCATGTTCACTTGAGGATTGCGGTGGTTCACGTAGCGCACTATTGCCATCGCTGCCTCACGAGGGCTGTTCACAGTCGAATAAGCACCCGAATATAACACCGTATCGCACATAAACGCACGTATTCGCCTTCTTCTGTGTGATGTATCCCGCCAACTCGAGATTGAGCGCATAGTTCGGCTCGAGCAATGTCGGATCGCAACATCGGTCTGCAAGTTCGTCGGCACATCACTTGAATACGACATCGCATAGTACTCACCAACGTATAGCTGGACCGGGCTTGCCTGTTGTTGAAATGACTGGGCCAGCATGATGCTGGAGAAGGAGGTTGGTGTGCAAGTAGACCGTTGCAGCGGAGCCCTTGGACGTTCCGGATTGCTCCCGAAGGGCCGCCCTTGATGGAAGCTGCTTGCTTCACCTGCGCGACCATTGCGGAATGCTGCGTTCACTAGAGATGGAGACTTTCTGAACGTTTTCTGGTTCTTATTATGCTCTGTGATCATGACTAGTCTCAGAGAATCAAATTCCGGATCCGAAACCAGAGGTTTGAGATTTGAGTAAACTTGAATTGGGCGCAATCATTCTCAAAACTTAACCTTCTGGCAACCGTTGAAAGGCAACGTAACCTATATATCTCACACCCAGAGGTTTCCGGTTCGGCCATCTTGTCAATTTGCGATTAAAGGCAGCTTTATACCCTCAAGAATGCATGCACAGAATCCCATACCGAGCAGGTCGCATCTGGGGAATGGTGATATGCAACCCTTCTATATGGAACGATGCCAGATATGATCCAGGGCTGAACATGAACTAACCAACCAGTTCTTGGAAAGATGAAGACGTTTTGAGGCGGTGGTGTGAATGCGAACCAACACGACCTACCGCCGCCGCATATTTAGATAGTTGGTACCGTTCAACTTCACAAGTAATTCAAAAGGCCATGTCACAATCGAGAGAGGATTTGGCAATGTTGGTGTACGGAAGGAATGTCTAGAAATGGTACTCAAGAGGGCATCACTGACATCCCCTTGCATGGAGACACTTTCATTGGATATACTCACCCAATCATGAAGCTGTGAGTGCAGGCGTTGTCTGTGCATTGATGCGGGAGAATCAAACGCAACCAAATAAAAGCAAATGAAGCACCAGATATCCAACATGGTGAGCGGATCAGAACACCAGCGGATGCTTTCATTAGAAACGCGTGACGCGCGTTCTGGGCGCGTCACATACTCTCATTCTCTCACGACGCGTCCTCCATCATTCGCTTTCCATCCTCTCTTCAATGGCGCGCGGAGGGCAGAGGACTTTTGGCCTTGTATCATCGCGTGGACGAGGGCGAGGGGGTGGTGGAAACTACCGCGGCAACTTTCGTGGGCGAGGCGGCTTTCGTGGGCGTGGACGCGGTCGAGGAGGGGCACAGGCCAGCAACGGGGATGGTCCAGCCCCACAGCGAGGGGAAGACGGCACTGCACAGGAGGAAAGGTTTGAGGATGTTAGGATAAGGGACGAGATTGACGAGAAGCTGGGGTTCGTTAAGTACCAGGAAGGGCCGAAAAAGATCGGCTGGATGGTCAACATGCACCCGGTGAGCCCATAGCGCTGAATCATCGACGCGTTTATTTACGAGGTATCAGACTCTCGTCAAGGACGACGATTATGCTGGTGGGAAAGCAGGTGTGGACTTCTACTTCCTGCAAGATGACGGTGGAATGTTCAAGTGCACGATGCTTTATGAGCCGTACTTCTACATCGGTGTCAAGGTACATACTACGAGACTGATCACGCATGCACCTGGCTGAACGACTGGAAACTAGAATGGCCATGAGACGACTGTCGAAGAATGGCTCATGAAGCGGTACGAGGGTCTCATCTCTCGAATCTCCCGTGAAAAGAAAGAAGATCTGAAGATGCCAAACCACTTGCTAGGCTACCGGCGTCTCTACCTTCAGCTGTGCTTCCGCAACGTATCCGATCTCCTTACCGTGCGACGCGACATGCTTCCTCTTGCTCAAAGCAACCAGTCCAAGGCCAGTGCGATCGAGGCGTATGCCGAAGTTGTCGGAGCGGCGGATATGGGTATCGAGATGGAGATGACGGATGGAGTCGCCCCAGAAATTCGCGGTGGACGGAAAGTCGAGCCCGAAGAATGTATTCACGATATCCGAGAGTATGATGTTCCTTATTACCTGCGCGTGGGTATCGATAAAGGTGCGTGCGCTCGCGTTCTTCCACTGATCCCGACCTGACTCAACCATAGACATTCGTGTGGGAAAATGGTACACCGTCACCGCTGCTTCTGGTGAGATCACTCTCGCAGAGATGCCTGAGCGAGTGGCTCGTGCAGAGCCTGTCGTCCTCGCTTTTGATATCGAGACATCGAAAGCGCCTCTGAAGTTCCCCGATCAGAGTCTGGACCAGATCATGATGATTTCATACATGATCGATGGACAAGGATTCCTGATTACCAACCGCGAAATAGTCAGCGAAGATATTGACGACTTCGAGTACACTCCGAAAGAAGGCTTCGAAGGACCATTTACGGTGTACAACGAGAAAGACGAAGAGGCGCTTATTCGACGCTTCTTCACGCATATCCAAAGTGCTAAACCCACCGTCATCGCGACGTACAACGGCGATTCCTTCGATTTCCCCTTTGTGCAAGCACGAGCTCAGCATCACGGCATCGACATGCTCACAGAGATCGGGTTTGCGAAAGACAACGAGGACGAATTCAAATCACGTCCATGTGCCCACATGGACTGCTTTAGGTGGGTCAAGCGTGACAGTTATTTGCCGCAAGGCAGTCAAGGCTTGAAGGCAGTGACAACGGCAAAGCTCGGCTATAACCCAATCGAACTCGACCCGGAGCTGATGACGCCGTATGCTATGGAGCAGCCCCAAGTGCTCGCCCAGTATTCCGTTTCTGATGCCGTTGCAACATATTATCTCTACATGAAATACGTGCATCCTTTCGTGTTCTCGCTTTGTAACATCATTCCCCTAAATCCGGACGAAGTGCTTCGAAAGGGGACAGGGACTTTGTGCGAGACTCTGCTGATGGTGAGAGCCTCCTTTGCTCTTCAGATCACTGGGCTGATTGATTCTCCCAGGTTCAAGCATACCAGAGCGCAGTTATCATGCCCAATCGTCATGAAGAGCCTTTCGGTAACACACATGAGGGACATCTACTATCCTTCGAGACTTATGTTGGAGGCCACGTCGAGGCGTTAGAGGCTGGGGTCTTCCGGAATGACATCCCGACGCACTTCAAGATTGTGCCAGCAGCAGCTCAACAGCTGATCGACGATCTTGATCGAGCGCTTCAGTTTGCAATTGTCACCGAGTTCAAGACCACACTGGACGACGTAACGAACTACGACATCGTGAAAGCGCAGATCACTGCACTTCTCGAAGAGCTCCGTGACAACCCGATGCGACAAGACAAGCCCCTCATTTACCATTTGGACGTTGCCGCCATGTACCCCAATATCATGTTGTCGAACCGTCTGCAGCCAGACTCCGTGGTAGACGAAGCGATGTGCGCGGTGTGCGATCATAATCGCCCGGGCAAGGAATGCGATCGCAGGATGACCTGGGCATGGCGTGGCGAGTTCTTCCCCGCAAAACGCGATGAAGTTAACATGATCAGATTTGCGCTGAACAAGGAGATGTTCCCGCCGAAGTTTCCAGGAGGTTCGAAGCGACGCTACGTTGATCTCAGCCCCTCTGAACAGAACGCTCTTCTACACAAACGTATCGGCGACTATTCTCGCAGAGTGTACAAGAAGACAAAAGATACCGAAGTTGTTGTCAAGGAAGCCATCATTTGCCAGCGAGAAAATCCTTTCTATATCAACACTGTTCGCAGTTTCCGAGACCGACGTTACGAATACAAGGGTTTGCACAAGACCTGGAAGAAAAACCTCGACAAAGCCAAATCAGCAGCCTCGATGACACAGATGGACGAAGCTAACAAGATGATTGTACTTTACGATTCCCTGCAATTGGCACACAAGTGTATCTTGAACTCATTCTACGGCTATGTTATGCGCAAAGGCGCTCGGTGGCATTCCATGGAGATGGCGGGAATCACATGTCTGACCGGTGCCAACATCATTCAAATGGCTCGTCAGCTGGTCGAACAAATTGGGCGACCGCTGGAACTCGACACGGACGGTATTTGGTGTATGCTGCCAGGCACATTCCCCGACAACTTCTTCCTCGAGACGAAAGGCGGGAAGAAACTCCAATTATCGTATCCCTGTACCATGTTGAATCACCTCGTGCACGACCGATTCACGAACCACCAGTATCACGACCTGGTTGACCCAGCTACGGGGGCATATGCCGTACATAGTGAAAACTCTATCTTCTTCGAATTGGATGGGCCGTACAAAGCTATGATTCTACCATCCTCTAAAGAGGAGGACAAGCTGCTCAAAAAGCGTTACGCCGTCTTCAACGAAGATGGATCACTTGCCGAACTGAAGGGCTTCGAAGTGAAACGTCGCGGCGAACTCCAGCTCATCAAAATCTTCCAGTCCGAGATCTTCGAAAAGTTCTTAGGTGGCGAAACCCTCGACCAATGTTACGCAGAAGTCGCCAAAGTCGCCGATTCGTGGCTTGATGTGCTTTACACAAAGGCAGAGGCTCTGACAGATCAAGAGCTTGTCGATCTCATTGGCGAGTATCGTAGCATGTCTAAAACGTTGGCCGAGTATGGTGCACAGAAATCCACAGCCATCAGCACTGCGAAACGTCTTGCCGAATTCTTAGGGGCCCAGATGGTGAAGGACAAGGGTCTTGCCTGTAACTTCATTATTTCGGCTAAGCCGCAAGGTGCTCCAGTAACTGAGCGAGCGGTGCCGGTAGCTATCTTCTCAGCGGAGGAATCGATCAAACGACATTATCTAAGGAAGTGGCTGAAGGATAATAGCCTCATCAATTTTGATATGCGGTCCATCCTCGATTGGGACTACTACATTGAGCGTTTAGGCGGTGTCATCCAGAAGCTCATTACTATTCCCGCGGCCTTTCAGAAAGTGTCTAATCCAGTACCTCGGGTTCGTCATCCAGACTGGCTACATCGGCGAGTCGCAGCGCAGGAGGATAAATTTCAGCAGCACAAGATAACCAATTTCTTCCAGTCTGGCCCCAAAGTCGTTGCCGCATCGGCGGATATTGAAGATATGGCTGGGTCACAGGGCAAGGTACCGCGGGCCAAAGTCGCAGTGGTCACAAAGAAAGTGCCTTCCAAGAAGACGAAACCTCTCCCTGATTTGAAGAAGAACTATCCCGGTTGGTTGAAAGCTATGCGGCGTATCTGGAAAGTCAAGCGCGAAGAAAGACTCGGCGGCTCTACAGCTATGATAGTCCCCGCAATGTTTCGTGGTACTCAAGTCCGGGAGGCCCGTTCCTGGGACATCTTCCAGATCCGACCCACAGACAAGCCAGGCCGATTTATCATGTGGTTGCACACCGACACGGAATTCATGCCTATTCCGCTCCGAGTACCGCGGCAATTTTACGTCAATTACAAGGAGATGCCGGAAACTGGCACCTTCCTTCCTTCCTACCTCGCGGAGAACCTCACACGTACTCTACCGCACGATCAACCCTGCTTGAATCTGTTCCGGATCACTGTGCCCGAGAGCCTGTATTTGGAAGAGGAGTCACACTTTACTGGTCTCATTGCTAACGTGAACGTCGATGGCGTTTATGAAATGCAAATACCTTCGGATCTGCGAGCTGTTCTCAAACTCGGTCGCTCATGCTCCATCACACGTGAGGCCGGAATTAACCTCAACCGAGCACGCTCAACCGGACTAGACCTACATCAGCTTGAACGACCGTCAAATACGATGATCAAAAGAGCATACCTGGGAGGAGGGAAAACACTGAACTGTGCACTGCTCGTTCACTTCACTGGTGATCGCCGACATGTGTTTGCTCTGTTCCGCCCAGATGGAACTGTTGGTTTACACCTAGTCGACCCTGCCCGGGAAAGGCAGCCTCCACAGAAACTGGAAGAAGCTTACAAGGCCAAGCTCGAATTTCTACGCCAACGAAGACCTGAGTCGATATTTGAGACCGCCGTCGACTATCCTGAGGACCTTGTCGTTGATCCCGCAGTATATCACACGTCGGAAGACAGAGCTCTTAAGGCCGTCTTAGCAGCACTGAGCAAGATGCCTCAACATGCGTCCTTGCTTCTCATCTCCTCTGATAAGACCTTGTCGTACTATGAGCAAGGTGTTCCGAAGATCTCAACGTTCCCGGTGATGATGATCCCGAGCCGACCAGGTGCACATGGGATGCCCGTATTCTCGTGGCAGAAGATCGTTGTGAGCCATATGATGTCCCGCTACGTTTCGATGGGATCCTGGCTGTATCAGGAGATCCAACGGGCTGCATACCATGATGTGCCGGTCGGCAATGTGCCTGCAGATCGTGAACTGTTCTATGCGGATGTTGACTTCTCACGTCGTCTCATGGACCAAGATATTCTTTTATGGTGGTCTTACACCAATCGACCGGACCTAGGGGGCCGTGAGGATGACAGTAATATCTCCGCTGATGAGGTCTCCAATCCCGAGATTTCCGCCCCAGGATGCTTCTCAAATGTGGCCGTTGCATTGCAACTGCAACAGCTCGCTGTGGACGCCGTCATGCAGTCAGCCCTAGTGAACGAAATGGAAGGCAGCGTGGGCGGAAATGCGGCTATTGGGGCAGCATCGCACAACTTGGACGAGTACACTAACGGAGCCTCAGACGCAGCCATCACACTAGGCGACATTGTATTACCTGCATCAACATTTGCTATCCTGAAAGCTACGGTGAGGTCATGGCACGGCGACATGGTTCATGGAAACATGGACGCCAAGACGGTTCTCGATCATCTATGGCGTTGGTTGTGCAGCACAGACGCTCGCATGTTCGATCCGATATTGCAGCGTTTCGTACACCAGCTGATGAAGAAGACATTCCTGCAGCTTCTGGCCGAATTTCGCCGACTTGGCTGTAGCGTGATCTCGGCGGACTTCAGCCAAGTCATTTTGCTAACCTCCAAACCGCCCGGGACAGCTTCCGCCTTCTTGACATATCTCCTCACTGCCGTGGAAAATCAGGAATTATTCCGATACGTCAATCTCCGGATCGATCGAGTTTACGACTTTATGCTTTTCATGGATCGTAGTAACTTTGGCGGCTTTGTCCACGAAGATCTAGCTGCACTCGACAAACCAGATGGCACAGCAGCGCTGATGATGTGCTGGAACATCCAGCGTTTCCTACCGCCTACCCTGCAGAATGATTTCGCACAGATCATTCGCAAGTTTATGACCGACTTGTATGAGGACAAGCAGAAACGCGGGCACAGTAGGACACCTCTCAGAGTCATACAGAACTTGACACAGGACCAGACGGCTGTGGCAACGGCAGACAAGATGCAGGAGGTCGAACGAGTGCGGAACTATGTCTCGAATCGCCTTACCCGTAGACTCCTGGCGAAGGTGCAACAGGTCGTCGAGCGCTACGAGAAATCGACGATGAGCGAGGCCCCTGAGGTAGAAGAAGACTTCGAGTTCCCCCTTCTCCCGGGCTCGTATATCAACTTCACCTCCCCTCCGGTCGAATTTGTCAAGTTCGTGTGCGAAGTCCTCCGTCTACACAAAGACCTCTCCCTAGAAGTGGGCGTGCTGAAACGTAACCTACTAGATCTGGTGCACGTACGCGAGTTCGCCGATGAGGCACAATTCAAGAACCCCTGTGAAAGCTTCAAGCTCCCCATGGTGATCTGCACCCAGTGTTCCAGCCAGCGAGATATGGATTTCTGCAGGGATGAGGACCTGTTCCCCGACCCCGGATCGTCGAACCCCAAGACATGGGCCTGTGCAGACTGCGGACACCCGTATGATCGGGCCGCTATCGAGGTGTCCCTTATTGACAGCGTGAGAAGGCTCGTAACCGCCTTCCAGCTGCAGGATATGCGGTGCGGGAAGTGCAAGCAGATCAAGAGCGATAACCTGAGCGCGTTCTGCGCATGCTCTGGCACTTATGGGCTCACGCTTGGGAAGCAGGAGACGAGGCGGCGCTTGCGGACGGTTGTCAATGTTGCAGCGTTCCATGGCCTCAGTTTGCTAAGGGACTATACGGAAGGAGTACTGATGCGGTGGTAGGATCGGCGATGACATATCCATCCACTCCTGTCAAGAATTTATCTTTACTTTTGTTTGATTATCGCATGTATTTTCGCAAATCGTAGAATGTCATAGTTTACCTATTGTATTACCAATGCATAATATATATCCATCTTTCTAATCGACGCCATCGAGCGAGATGATTGCATTCCAGTCGAATGGCAATGTTGACGCCGCGCGTGCCGGGTGTTGTTTGCCTTATTGCGTTGCTGCCTCCCCTCTCGGGCGTGTCAGCAACGAGCAACACGACGACGTCGCCCCTTGATCTGTCACTCTCATCACTGTCTGCATAAGCAGCATACACGCCCAGACGTCGGTGTCTCCTCTTTTGACTCATTTGGACGACGAGAGCGCACCGCGTCGCGTCATTGACATCGGAAACGCTTAGGGACGATACCAGCTGAGCGATTGCCTCCTCCTGACTCTATCTCCTATATCTTAACGCCTCCGTTCCCTCTCTTGCTGTAGCACCTTTCTAAGCAGCACCCACCATCTCGCACCTCCCAATCGCACTCGCACTCGCGGTCAACTCCCATAAAGACACGCCAACCACGGCTCACTCAAGGATGAACTTCTTCAAGTCCCGGTCCCGCGGGCCGAGCGACGTCGTCCGCTCGCTGAAGGACGCTGTCGCTCGAGTAGATGGCACTCCTGCGGGGAGCGATGGAAGGCGGAGGGCGAGCGAGGATGTTAGCAAGTGGTTGGGAGCGATGAAGGGGATCCTTATCGGTGCTGATGGTGGTGCGTGCTATTACTCTCCATATATGTGCTTAGTTGCTGACCCTTTCAACGCATCGCGATTAGAAGAGCCCTCACCTGAACTCGTCGCTCAGCTCGCGCAAGAAGTCTATTCCTCCGATCTCCTCCTCTCTCTCGTCACCAGCATAGCGAAGTTCGACTTCGAAGCGCGCAAAGACGTTGCCCAGATCTTCAACAACCTCTTGCGCCGGCAGATCGGCAGTCGCTGGCCAACGGTAGACTATCTCAGCTCAAGGCAGGATGTCGTGTTTGCTACGCTGGAAGGGTACGAGAACGAGAGTATCGCCCTGAACACGGGGATGATCTTGAAGGAGATGCTCCGACACGAGCCGCTCACCAAGGTGCTGCTCTATTCTGACCAGTCCGCATCTTCCCTCTCCTTTTCTCCATGTACGCTTGCTGATCAGTACCCACAGGTTCTACCAATTCCCACACTACATTGAGAACACGACTTTTGGCGTGTCGTGCGACGCGTTCGCAAACTTCAAGGATACACTCACGCGGCACAAACAGATGGTTGCCGAGTACCTTGAGCAGAACTATGATCGCGTATGTCCATTTTTCTCTGCGATATGGACATTCGAGCCTATCCCTGACCAATGATGTAGTTCTTCCTCACCTACGCCGCTCTCATCGCCTCCTCCAACTATGTTACCAAGCGCCAGTCGCTCAAGCTGCTGGGCGAGATCCTCCTCGACCGCGCAAACTTCAACGTCATGACGCGGTACATCGGGAGCGAGCAGAACCTGAAGACGATGATGAACCTTCTCCGGGACAAGAGCAAGAACATCCAATTCGAAGCGTTCCATGTGTTCAAGGTGCGTGTTCCGAAACGTTTCCTCAGCGGGCTGTTGACGGTTGATGGGCGTGCACAGGTGTTTGTGGCCAACCCGAGGAAACCTACTCAGATAGAAAATATCCTCCGACGAAACAAGAATAAGCTCCTAGCCTTCCTCAACGACTTCCATTGTGATAGGGATGACGAGCAGTTCACGGTGCGTCGATCATAGCTCTTACCAGAGGCGTGGAAGCTAGACACTGACAAACGACCAGGACGAGAAGCAGTTCTTGATCACCCAGATTCAGGGCCTCTGAGATACCCTCGAGCGTTTTGTCGTTCCCTCCGATCTTGCATACCACCCCCGCCTCCCCACTTCGTTCTCCTTCCCCTATCCACACACCCACTCCTCCAAGGTTCAGATCAAACCAAGGACATTCATCCCCCACCCCCCCCACCCCCCCCTTGTTCCCTTCTTCCTTTCCCGGAGGCCGCCTGCTTGCCCGTCTCGCATCCCTGCGAGCTGTCATCATCACTGCATCACTGCATACTTGTAACATCACCCCACTTTTGTCATTTTCGATTTCAATCTCAAACAAGTCCGAGTCTTCTCTTGATACATCGATGTGTTTGGATGTGATGCTGTTGAGTGACCAATGTACTCGCTTCATCAGCTTGGTGTTGGACGAAAGGGAGAAAAGGGGCGGCTGAAAGCATTTCATTAGCTTCATATCAGGGAGGAAAACAAATGATTTTCACGAGTTCAGTGCGACAGGAGGCTGCAGGAATGAGAGGATCCCAAACAACTCGACGGGATGAAACGGGTACACTCGTTGCAAATTGTCGGTGATATGGTATCAGAAATGCGCTTCCAATACATATATATATACAAGGGAAATGAGGCAGGGTACAGGGGATTTTTCTGAAGAATTCGTGATGCAGGCCAAACAAGGTTCTGTCCAACAGAAAATTACTGACGCGATCAGGCGTCCGACATTGAGGTCTCAATCACCCCTTCTTTTCTTCCACCCAGTCAATATCCGTCTCCATCCCCCCTTCGCAGCCTCATGTCGATTCCACCGCGTGTTATTGCGAAACTCGGTGAGGGTAGCGCCATCTGTGTACAACGCCTGCTCGACCACGCGGTTTGCGAATGTCGCGGAACGCTCTCTATACTCCTGTGAGGCGTCGGGATCGGGTGTATCCGCCGGTGGCCTTGGCGATGGGATACGAAGATTCTCGGATTCGCGAGCTTCATTTGCAGCTGTCCGTAGCAGGCCAAGTGTGCTCGGCCCTTGATGCGCTTGCTGAGACGGACGTGTCGTTCGCTTTGGAACATGCATATGTTAAATTCGGGGCAGGATTTGACCGGACGGATTGCGAGAGGGTTCAGGGGTAGTACTTTTGCCCACGAGAAATGAATTTGCATTCGGAGGCATGGATAGCTTTGGCCCGTCGAAATGGGGTTTCTTCCGGAGGCGTCGACTGGACTCAGCAGGACGTGCGAGCATCGTGAATCGGTCAGAAATGAGGTATAGAATCTGCAATTTCTTGGGGCTTTTTATAGTCTGAATTATTGTGGCAGCGACCGGCGGTAGGAAGGAAGATTTGTGGTCGTCTTTCAGGGTGTAGACCTCGAGAGGATTTGTGGTAAATGGCCGGTGATTGGAGAGTGACTCTCAACTCACTGGCAGCGCACTTGCCGCGATCACGTATTTGCGATAGAGTCCATATTTTGGTATCCTAGGAAGTGAGCGTTTTCACGCCGAAGTCATACACAAGGGTTGGAGTGGAAAAAACGCTGACCCCGAATGAATCTTGCCCGTGCTGGGTTCCAGAGCAACCCGAAGACCGAGATCACACACGTACGGGCGTCGCAGATCTCTGAGAAATGAGATGAAGCCCTTTCAAAAGAAGCATGAATTGTGTCCACTTCGTCTCGTTATGTTGGTCTCGTACGCTGGGAAGCTCAACCTGGATCCCTGGTGCAGCGTTCCACAAGCATCTTGCAACCTGTGTCGGATGCTCCAGTCGTCCGCTGTTCAGACGCAGCCTGAGAAGTCGAGGACTGTAATGAAACTCTTGTTGGGTACAGTTTATAATGGGCGGAATGGTAGTCGCGTCCAGGTGATCGATTCGAATGAATGAGGTCCCTGCAATTGACCAAAAGGTCCACAACACCTGCCAGGGTCACCGAGAACATTTTTCCGGGCTCCCAGTGAGCTAAGTCGTTGGCTAGACTTTCGAAATAGAGATCTCGTATCGACGGCCATTTTTTGGCCATGGAGCTCAGCGCAGAATCATCGAAAGCAAAGTTGTCTTCGCAGTCGGGAAGTGAAGCTAGACTCAAGTGGAAGCGCTCCATGGCTCTGCATTCAAGGAGAGGAGAAAAATCGTCCCAAGAGCATAAATAACTGTTGAGAGCCGGAACAGTCAACAGGACTTCCTTCAAACAAGGGAATAACCTCGGTACGGATCGGAGGAATTGGCGATGTGCTTCCTCGTGTTCTTTATTGAAGTTGTATTGCAGTCGAAGGTAGAGTAAAGTCTGGGGCAGCGTGTCAAAGAGACGCTGGTCGTGCCATAGAAGAGGCTTGTAGGTCAAATCAAGACCCACTAAGCTTGGAAACATAATGCCAGGCTCGTGCGAACACTCGATGAAGCTCCGACTTTCTGGCCTGTCAGCCACGGTCACTTGTCGGGATAGGTTTGGATGTGTTGCGATCGCGTTCAAGGCTAGACGTGAGCTGATGCAGTCCACTGCTATTCGCTCCAGATGGGGCAGACTTCGAATCAGCTTCGCCAGTGCCACGTCGGATACTTGCTCAGCGGGGGCAAAGCATAAATTTCGAAGATTGAAGGCAACCAGAGGAATTTGTTCCAAAACCATTGAGAGACTCAGCGCAAATTCGCTGGGAATGGCGTAATCAGTCTTATCGAAAGATTCCGGGGTACGACCATTAATGCACAAGATCAGTTCTTGCAGCCCAGGGTAGAGGAAAGGTGCGACCAAATGCGAATGACAGTGAGACCTATCGAGAAAGACGAGGTGTCGAAGGTTGGGGAAGATGGGCGTTTCTGCCTTGCAGCTCAAGATCTCCAGCTTTTCGACGCAGTTGGCCGTGGACGGCATCAACACGCGGTGCGGGTTGGAGGATGTGGGGGTGAAATTCAGAACCAAAACATGTACCAACGATCCATATCGATGGAAATTCTTCATAAATTCTTCAGCCTGTGATTCGTCGCTGACACCGCACGTAATCTGGGGCGGGGCATCTTCGCAAGCCGTGCAAATCCATTTTGGTTGATTTGCCACCATCGCAAAGGGATCGCCGCCTCGTAGAATGCCCGATTGGTTGGGCATATTCGAGCGAGTTCGCTGGGATTAAGGAAGCGGAAGATGCTGTCCAGGATATCTCTCATCTTGAGTGCACGGTGAGACTCATATCGTCGGAAGGTGGGATCGCACAGCTGAGAAAGCGGCAGCGGCGACCAAAACGCCTGAATGTCTGGGGTGAGGTAATCCTCTTCTAGCATGTCCTGCAGGCGTGGCGGCTTTCTCATGTTGAGTCACTGCTAACGGGCGGACTGATAGGGTACTCACAGGGGGGTTGAAGGAGTATCCAAGTTCCATCGTCGCCCAAATCTCCTCCATAAGGTTTTACGACCAAGTTGTGGACCCATGGCCCCCATCGTCCATTATATAACCCAGACATCAAAGGCAATCCAACCCACATACAGTCGCGTAATGCTCGCCTGTAGGAAGGCATGCCAAGGCCATCTCGCGTTAATTTAGCGCCGTCCTGGACCACGGATTGAAGCACGTGATTGTACCCTCTCCGGCGTATCACAGGCGGCGTGTTACACGGGTATTATAAATGAAGAAGCTCTCCGACCACGTTACGTGGGATGTGGCTGCGGACCACGCCCGTACGGCAGGAAATACATGCGCCGATCGTTGGGGTTAGCAGGTTGATGACCTTTAGAAGATGACCACGTACATGTTCGGAGGGAAGGCCCGAGCTTCGGCACCCCTTAATGATCGCCTTCTGCTTGATTTGGGCAGTTGCCGTCGTTCCATATCAACCATCTTGTCGGAGGTCGGGTCTCCACATTTCCCAGGCCCGCAAAACGTCAGACTCCCATCCGACCGTGATTCACAAACACGCCGATGTCGAAGTGTACAATCACCGCTCAAGCTCGATCATGGACCATGGACCGGTGTCCAGCCTTATGTCTGAGGAAGCGCCGATCGTCGTTCCCACAGGCCCACAGGCTAGAACCACTCTCATGTCTGAGCATGCACACCGACCACCGCAGAGTTTGCCTGTGAGACATGTGTGGCATGCGGCGGAGAGCCACTGGGAATCTCTGCCAGCGGAACGGTGCTAATCGTATCGATCGTCGGAAAGTATCCGATGATAGAGAAGGCTTCCAAGGCTTCTATGGGATGTGGTTCCTTCGGAGGGAACGCCACAATCTGACCGCATATATGCCGCAGTTTCATCGCACATCCATAGGGCCGGGAAGACAATGACGGCGCGCCTGCATTTATCACACGAGCCAGTTCACACTTATTCAAGGAGGGAAAATATCATACAATTCAGAACACAGATCCACACGGCACGCTGGCCACTCTGCTCCAACACACTCCTCATCAAATAGTTGCATTCGTTGGACACGCATCAGAGCAATAAAACGTGAAACGTAAGTGGAAAGGAAGAGAATATGGGAAACAAGGGTTCGTGCCGGAACGTCCACCGGATATACGTACTGCGTACGAACGGAGGGAGAAGCGAGGTGTACAAGCTTAGTGATGAACGGATTTGACGATGGGGACGATGATGATCACTAGGAGAACGGCAATACCGACACCGATGAGGATACGCATCTGAAGCATGGGTCAGCACAGTCTTCGTAAGTAGAGGCTATGCACCGTTCTCGAATACGATGAGGTGCAGGAGAAGTGGGAAAGAAATGGTAAAGCACATACCTTCATGTCCTTCCACCACATGTTCTTACGCACACGGTTAGCGCCACGCCTGAACCCTTGTGCGGACATAGCGAGGTTGTCTATTGCCCATCTCAATCATGCTACAGCGATGAATAGACCACAGCAGCGCACCAGTCTTGTCACGGAGGACGTCGATCCTCTCTCCTCGCTCGGCAACCTTGGTGATGTTCTCCCGCATGATACCAACGGTATCATCGATCTGCTGCTGGATGGCAGCTGTTTTGCTGTTCCCGGCTCCACCGGCTCCTGGCGCAGGTGCACCGGAGGATGAGCCATTGCGGGGGACGTAGGGGTCGTAGGGCTCGCTGGACATTGTAGATGGTTGATTCTAAGGTGATTGGGCGTCAGGACGTGACCGGCACGAACGGCGTAAAGTGATGGTGGTAGTTGGAGAGGAGAGGAAGAGTTAGCTCACTTTTGGGGAAGGAGATGGGTGCGTAGGTTACAAGAAGGCGGTGGATACGGAGGGGGAGGCGGTTAAAGTAACGTGTGACGATGTATGCGCAGGGGGGGAGGACGGATGGAAAGGCGGTGAAGATCGGTCTGGGTGGGAGCGGACGGTCGCGCTTTGACACGGGGGCGATGACGACCAACCAGAGCAGAGTGGCGTTCACACAACAAGGCTGCGCGGTCAACTCCGGACAACGCCACTCGGATGCAGAACGTGCATCGGAGGCAACTGCCCTGATGCAACAAGGCACCCGCTGACCTCACCACGACGATGTTGGTAACTTTCTCTTTCCGACTCGAGCACGACTGCCTCTGTCCATACTTGTGGCACTCGACACAAGCAGAACCTTCCCACCCATAACAGCACCGTAGAATTCCTTGATGAGGAGTAGTGCGGCGGCGACATCCGCGGCACATTTGTGCGCCAAAATATATCTTTCTCCGGCTTGAGCACCACCTGTTTGCTGCAAGTGAAGAAGATATCATCACTTGGTCCCAGCAATCCCTCACCTCTATTGAATGGTCAATGTCCCTAGCAGTGGATAGCACCACATGCTGTTGAAGCATGAGCAGAGGTCACATCTCAAACAAGAACGGAGACGTGAACCAGTCCAGCATCTTGCAGCCCTGCTTCTTCCATCAGAACAAAACCGTCTTTCACCGAGATGAATTGCGAAAATAGATTTCTCAGCAATCTATAAGTATGACGAGGGTCCATTTCCTCGTCGGGGATGTAGCTCATCGGTAGAGCGCTCGCTTAGCAAGTATTTGACCACCTGTTCTTCAAACCGGCGACTCACTACGTTGCGAGAGGTGGTTGGTTCGATTCCTATCATCTCCATTTCATTTCCTTTTGGTTACCTAGCAGTTTTCGCTTCAGCGATCGCGACCCTTCTGCTTTATGACATGCTTCCTCACTGTATACGTTCGGAGGAGTTTCGGACTTGGGACTAACTATCCTAACTCAATTCCTAAACTATGATTACCTAAAGCTGTCTCATTCGAACTGTCGTTTGAGCGGCTTCGAAGTTAGAATGTGCAGCATAGTTCTATGTGGGAACGACAATCGGTGCTTCCTCAGGCATAAGGCTGGCTACCGGACTATGATCGAGCTTGAGCGTCGATAGTACACTCTTCGACTCTGGTTATGAATCACGGTCGGATGGGAGTCTGACGTTTTGCGGGCCTGGGAAACGTGGAGACCCGACCTCCGACAAGATGGTTGATATGGCGGTAACTGCCCAAATCAAGCAGAAGGCGATCATCAAGGGGTGCTGCTCGGCCCTTCCCTGGCAAGGCAAGTGCACGTCGTTGGGCCTAAGCAGAGGGGTAATGGGAGTTAGAACTGATGTGGTTTGAAAGTCTAGCTCGTTGGGTACATGCTGCATTCGATCACGTATGTTGATATGACCTAAGAACACTCGACACACACATGTGTTCTCCACAAAGAGATGTTCACAGTTGCAGGTGTGCTGAGCAGTTCAAGTTGAGGAGAGTACTGGAAGTTGTGATTGGACAATCTGATCTTGCGCACTCGAAACTGCCTCCCTTGATCCATGCCAGAAAAGCTCCCTTCTTACACCCTGATCCTATCGTCCTCATTGGTTCTTTTCTGCAACAGCCCTCCACTGATGGGCTTCTTCATCAAACAGCTGACTCAACTTACATAATCATGAATGCTTCCGTCAGGCTCGCTGTCCTTTGTCTCCTATCGCCCTTGGTGACTCTTGTATCCTTACCACCACCTTCCCTCTTTACCAACTGTATACAAAGGACATCACCTTGTTGTGGTGTTCTTGACATAGGTTGGCAAGTCTGTGAGGTTTTCTTTGTCCCAAAGTGGACTTGGTGATTTGACTGGGAAGAGAACGCGTCCGACGCGTGTGACACGTCGCGTCAATAAACGGTTTTCGCGTCCCAAGTAGCCCACTCCCTGTATACGGACAGCAACCTCTCCTGTACCGCAAGATAGATCGCGTCAAGGAGCAAACGGTGATGGCTCGACGGTCTGATGCATCCATATCCAGGGGCGTGATGCTCAGCTCAAGGTCAGGTGATGGCACGCCCTCTAATAAAAGCGACATCTTCAGTGCGTCCCTTCGTCGCTCATCACAGGATACCTGGGACTGATTTTGCTGATTAAGATGTTCGATCATCCCAGTCGGCTATTCCGAGCCTTGCTGTATCCGTGTCCTCGCTAAGGAAGCGAAGGATGTCAGAATTCCTGGCTGGCCAACCTTCCAGTTCTCCCCCACCGCCTGCGCAACGCCCGCGCCGAAAGTCGATCTCGGAAAGTGAAGTCGAGCTGGAGCTGTTGGACACGGCGAATGACCCGCTTATCCCCGTCCCCAAGTTTAACGGTGGGAGCGCGGAGAAGAAGTCGGGGAAGGCGATGGCGAAGAAGAGCGCTGGACCACAGCCTTCCAAAGGAATCAGCATTGTCAAGGGCAAGACGGAGAGAGAGGACGTGTGGGTCATCTCCGACTTGGAGGAAGAGGATAGCATTCCGTCTCCCGCGCGGGCAGGGAGGGTACGGAGGGAGAATGCACGTATCTTCCAGCCGAAGGTTATTAGCCCTGTGGACGAGTCAGAGAGCGAAAGCCTGCCGGACAACCCTATGGACTATACGCCCAGATCACGCAAGATAAATGTAAAAGGCAAAGGCGGCGGAGAGTCATCATCTTCGATTGCGACGCCACCACTTATCGCTCGCAAGACGAAGCTTGATCGCCCCCCAAAACCAGCGGAGCGCAGGACTGAACGGCGGATCTTCGAAACTCCAGAAGCGGAGCCGATGCCCGAGAGGGGCATGTCACATCCCGCCTCAACCCCTGGGGAGAAGCTCCAGGCATTATCAGGGAAGAAAGGACCTCTATTTCAGGATGCAGCGGAGAAGCGGGTACGCGTCCCTATAGCCTTGGTCGAATGCAAGGAAGAAGAAGAAGCCTACTCTTCTGACTCCTTAAGTGTGCGGCCGTCCGTGCGAAACCAACGCATTGCCCCTTCACATTCGATTCGAGGATCACTCGCTGCTGCTGCCATTCCGGTCTCAGTCCCATCCATTTCACTATCCGGCCGTCCTCGTTCCATACCTAGCCGCTCCAGCCAAGAGTCTATTCCCCATGCAAGCAATACCATCGCATCAACGCTTCGCGCTACCCAATCCTCGTCTCACATCGATGTGTTCAAACCACTTTCTTCTTCAGCTTCTCACCGAACTGTCTCGACAGGCGACCTGTCTCTCTCTCAGTTTATGAAACAGCAGCCAGCACGTGGGGTCCTGGCGACCATCAAGGCTGCCTTTTCTCTCAACAAACCGGTTGCCGAAACTTCCCCCGTTCCATCATTTGATCGTATCCCGCGCCCAAGCGGAGCAAGAGCAATTATGCAAGCGGCCTGGAATGCGGAGACAGAGAAGATGCGCTGCGCCAAAGTGTACATCGTTGGACGCAACTACAACGATCGAACTAGTACTCCGGAGGTCCCGCCTGGCTTCACTTACATAGAATCCGAATACTTTTAGTATGCCCTGCCTCCTTTGAAAGGTCCCTGTGTCTAACCCTTCCTGCAGCAATGTACAAACTGTACATCAGAATCCGCATACTCGCTTCCTACCCGCGGATTTCGACCACGTCTGTTGGCAAGCGCAACAGCCTTGCACGATAAGACCGCCGACGCGTCGCAACCAGCATGACTGCCATAAGCAGCAGTTCAGAGGTCACTACGCTTATGATGAGCAAGTGAGTCATTCAATTGTTAGGTTGTGCAGTGTCCTTAGAACCTGGATAGGGTCTTTTCACATTCCAATTCCCTTCGCATATTGTTATCCTGGAGTGCAACAGGGTGAGTGTGCCACACTGTATTGCACAAAAGTGCTGACCCAACATAGTATTGTATGTGCGATAAGGAAAGTTGCCAATTCTCCGTGGCGCAAAGACAAAGGAGGCAGGAACTGCACGTTTTTGAAACCGAGAACTGTGGTTGGGGAGTCCGAACTCCAGTAGACCTAAAGCGAGGGCAAGTTCTCGGGATGTACATGGGCGAGTTTATGCAAGTCTATCCGGATGTACAGTGTGCCTGTAGCTGACAGTCAATAGTAGCCGAGAGGAAGGTGGGAGAAGACAGGGCAACTATATTTTTGATCTTGATGCGGAAGAGAAGCGGGAAGATCTATCTCTGGAAGGCAAATTCTCTGTAGATGCTGAGAATTGTGGCAACTGGACACGGTTCATCAAGTTGGTTCCTGTGTTGATTTCCCGATTGTTTGCTGAACTCTTCCCAGTAATTCATGTGAACCCAATCTGTTTGTCAGAACTGTGAACTACGAAGCACCAGCCAAGTATCATCCTGGACGTTTGATGTTTATATGTCTGAGAGACATCGAAGCGGGCGAAGAGTTGACATTTACATATACACCAACCCATGCAGTTGCACCTGAGGATATTCCTTCCAAACCAAGATGCTACTGTGGAGCTGAGAGTTGTAGGGGATGGTATTGAGAAATGAATACTAGGATTGTCAGCTATGTGTCTTCATAGCAGTAAAATGGGCATGCTTTGTAGCATTGCTTGCTAACTAATAATCCATCAGTTCATGTTATTTGGACATCTTCGGGTGATACTGTACACGCGTAAGATCCTCCGCAGCTATAAGAGTGGCATATGCTCGAAATACGGAACAGGAAGAAGAGAGTATGGGACAAAGAACGAACTCTTGTCGTGGGGATTTAAAGGGGGAAGGTCAGGGTCATAATTGGCGGATGTATCTTCTTCCACGGATCCCCGATTGATCCGATTATTGCCACTGGCCTTACCATATGCGGTAATTTGTACTGCCTCTACCGTCATCGTTCCAACCAAGCGGTCTCTCCCGCAAAGGAGCTCAAGCCCAGACACTCTGAGGGCGTAAAAGCACCAATGTCCCTACCATGGCTACCCTTCCCGTCATATCCTCTTTCTTCGGCCCAAACTTGCTCTCTCATCAGTGGTAAACAGTAGTCATGGGTATGCCATCTTCACTCTATTCACAAATCGTTGTTAATACGAATACAGGTCAGGTACATGCGCGCTTTGAACAACTATATGCCCAAAAAACCGGGCGCAGAGGAAACACATGGTGGTTTCCTCGATTCGGTCGTCAAGCTTTCGGCCTGAACTTCGACGTTCTTGAAGTCATCTTTGAGTTCATCACCGATCCCCGTGACTTGGCAACTTGTGTCTCACCAACAAATTGTTCTACGAGGCGGCAAGACCATTCTTATATCGGGAGATGAAGTTCTTTTGCACGCGCAAGGTCGCACCATGCGCGCGCTGTATCCTCTTATATCGTACTCTGCTCGCGGATCCGCGCCTGGGACTGTATGTGCACCATCTCTCGATAGATGTCGACTCGTTCGACACTGATCGGCCGGGCCAACTGCTTCGCCCTGCGTTATGCCGCGTCTTTTATCGAACACTTTGGCTCTTCCATAACCTCAAGAAGATCGAGCTCCTCAAGCTGAGCGCCCAATCACCTGGTATGATTGACTCCCTCCCAAGTTGCTTCGACTGCAAGCACGTCGATATCGCACTATCCAACTGGCAGCCCCTCAGCGAACATTCCTGAAAGATCAATCTCAAGTCCAACGCTTGCGGTTGGTCGTCGTGGGAGAAGAGATGTCCGATGAGCAATCCGTTACGACCACTTTCGACTGGCTTTCACACGATCTGACCAACCTCCCGAATTTCCAGAAGTTGGAAGGAACTTTATCTGCGACAGGGTTGGTTAGAGGCCGGCCGGTGACGACGTTCAGATACGCATCGCTCCCCATATCCCGAAGATTAGAGCAAGGATTCGAGATGCTCCCATCATCATATTGCACCTGGGTGTTATAAAACTTGGCTTTGTCGACCGGTCCATTGCAGCACCTGGGAATCAAGATGAGCAACCTTGATATCAAAGTTCTGGGAGAGATCGTCGAAACCCTGCCTCATCTCAACGCCGTGATGATCTATCTTCCCGACGTGTATTCCCTTGCGGTGCGCACAGTGCCCCGTATCTCCTTTACAAACTGATATCCCGTCTAGTCTCTTTCCTCCGCCACACTAACGAAACGCCTTCCCCACCGACCAAACACCTCCGGGCTGCAACATCTACTCATCTCATGCCACGCCTGGGCCGTACATCTAGACAGTTCCCATTTCCTGCCTCTCGTGCACCACCTAGGTGCCGACTTTCCCAACCTGATAAACCTGCTGATCGCACCTGCTTCGGGGGCCATCAGCGCCCTTCCGCTGGTCAGAGGTCCGCTAGAATACAGCTTCAAGCGACCAAGGAACGGATTGTGGACGAATTGGTCTAGGCAACTTACGGCTCCTATCATCCCTCAGCCAAGGAGCTCCCGACCTCATGCTATTGTATCTCAGTCTGTCAGCCTTTGAGTTACGCTATATCCTACATCATGCTGTATTTTTAGGCATCATACTAGCCTCTTTGGGGCATCATATAAATCTAATGCTGGCCTGCAGAGTTCCTCCTTCGCTGGAGCGCGCCACTCGGGGCTGCTTGCTGTATCTTCTCCGACTGACACCAGATCAGTGATGCTGAAGTCATAGCACAGACTGTCGGCGTTCAGCGTGATTTCCGCAGGATCCAACGCCGAAAAGTCGCACTGACATTCTGGGACAATCCGGTGACTTTTGACCGCTGCTGTACAAAAGACGAGCTGTCAATGATAAGTCAACGTCCCCATTCTGTTGCTACAGGTGAGCCAGGTACCTCATACCTTCAACTTTTCGAACTTCGATAATCTTGCACGGGTCAAACGGCTGCGGTGGGTCCGTCGGATATCCTTTCTGGTTAGACACCACTCTCACCCCCTTCCTCTCGAAATCACAAGACCAATGGGTATGACCAAAACACCAAGTCTTCACCTGCTCTCCCCACCAGCCCTTCTCCGTCAACTTGGTGGAAAAAGCACTCCCCGCAAAGCCGCCTTTGAACTTGGGGTCTGAAGTATTCTCAAACGTAGGTGAATGGTGGGTGAAGATGACGATCTGCCGATCCGGCTCTTGTGTGCGGAGGGAGGAGAGCGCATCCTCGAGCCAGGAGAGCTCTACTTGGTGCACAGACTCGTATTCCGGGATGTGGAAGCCTTTGATACGCTTAAAATCGGGAGAGACTCTGGAGATCGCCTCCGCGTGTTTTGGGTCCAACTCAGACCACAGCGTGCAGCCGAGGAGCGTGAGAGTAGGGGAGAGGTCGTATCGTGTACGGTAGAGGTATATAAACACGCCTCGCCCGTTAGATGGCTCGGCTCTCGGTGCTGCATAGTCCTGCAGGCGCTTGTGTGATTCCTCCTGATGTAACGTCAGCGTTCGTCTCCGGACGACGGGGCAGACCGCACCAAGGACCATTCGTACGCTTCATGGTTCCCAGCCAGATAAAATACTCGTCTGAACCTGGTCAATTGCACGTCAAACCACTCAAACAGCCCGTCAGAGATTGTGTGCCCCATATCTCCGAGCAAGGCAACGTCTTCGGCCATCACAGGGAAATCATAGGTATATGCCGGCTCGTCAGGTTGCCCAAGTTCGAGATGTGCATCGCTCAACAATTAAAAACGAAACTCGATGGACATGGCAGAAAATATTGAGGCAGTTTGATTGAGAGCTGGCGATACAGTGTATGCATTGTTATGATGTTCGAGCAATCACATGTAGAACATCAAGGGGTCCACCGAACAGTGGAAGCATTTCTTAGACACGTGCGGTCAGTTTGAGGATTTACTTGGATGAAGAACTCCCTGAATCAGAACCTGCCTTGATTCTCTACCTGCAACCGTAATACGCTACTTTCATCATCAAACAAGGGTGAAATTTATAGAACGCTTTTTGACGGGAGAAGGGTTCGGAAGTAAAAGAACTCTTACGCCTTCTTTGTTGCCAGACGGCAGCTCGGCAGCAAGGACAGGTTGGTGCATACGACAGCCAGCTCTCGATGCAACCTTTGTGGAACAAGTGCCAACAGACGCCCAGATGTGCGACAGTGTCATCATGTTGGTACTACATCTCAGCAACCAGCTTGCGAAGAGGGGATTAAACGTGCCTACCTCCTGGAGACAAATCACACAGATCTTATCCTCGCCTTCTAATGGTTCCTCGCGGTACAAGCTGATATACAGCCTTCCAGGGTTGTCTGGAGCTCCACGTGAATGCGATCTCATGCGATCCAGGAGAAAACTTTGCGTTTCAAAGAGCACATTGTTGTCAATCTGGTCATGAAGGTCAGTCACATTTCACGCACAGTGCATAACTCACGGTGTTGGCAGCGGGGTGTGGACCATATCGCCATCCCGGTTCCGTGGGGCGGCCAGTGCGCGACATTTCCGTTTGGTCAGTGAAGCCTCTTCCAGCTCGGTTGTGCGACATTGGCAATCTATCACCAGGCTCGACGACGGCAAACGCAGCTCGCACATACACGGCGACCATGGAATCGATCTCCCCAAGCGGATCGTTTGGCTCAGTCCTACTGATTGTCGCACGTGGGAAAATAGGGAACCAATCGTTCAAGCCCGGTTGAAATGGTGCAAGTGTATGAGCTTGCCGGGCAGCGCGGGGAGCAAGAATCCCGCCCCAGAACTCTCATACGACCGAATTCGGCGATCGTCTGCGTCACTGTCTTCACTTTCTTCCCGCTGGTGTCGGTTCCGCTGATGGAGTGTCTGCTCAGGACCATGTTGCCATTCTCGATGTCGATGAGGTTGCTCTCCTCTAACTTCGGCATCCGCTTCATAGGCTCCCGCTGTCTCTGAGATTTGTGACCCAGGGTTTGCTGGCTGCCAACCAAGAAAGGGTTGCAAAAAAAAACTCGTCCCAGTCTCATGATCGTTCGCTATGGTTCCTAGCAGCCACGTCGACGGAACAGCACCAGACAGTACATCTGTCTGGATCACACTCCCATAAGTTCTAGGTCACGTTTCAAGTAAGGGGAATGGCCCACCATATTTTGCCACTCAGCCGCCAATTGCCTGTTAGCAGCATCGGTGCGGCGCTGTTCTTCTGATGGCCGCTCTGTTTCTGGCATGACAACGAATCTGCTGCATGAAGGTAAGCACTTGCTGCATACATTTTCCATAACATCTGAAGCTTACAGAGTAAAGTTGCAGACGTATGGTCCTTGAGGGGGTGAACCAAGGCGAGACTGTTTAGGAGGGAGCACACGTATCGACCGAGTTTATAGGTCACCGTGAGCGGACTAGTCCGACGTAGACAGCCTTCTTCACAGGTTTTCGGCACGTCATTGAACGGTACATCTCTGTGAAAATATTGACCGTATACCCCAACCAGTTTTCAAACGAGTGTTTCCTTCCAAAAGTCATCTTCTGCCGATGGCATCTTCAATCGGCCAAGGGGACTTCCGTCAAGGGGACTTCCGTCAAGGGGACTTCCGTCAAGGGGACTTCCGTCAAGGGGACTGACTTCCACCAATGGGATTTCCGCTGATTGCCTGGTTTCTGCCATGTGGCATCCCATCGGAATCTTGAATGTCGTACTCAAAAAATGCCCGAGTTCCTTCTCAGCAGCAGAAAAATAGAACTCATATACCAAATACGCACCTTACCTTAGCGCATGGTGACTTGGAACTAGGAACACTGTGGGAGAGGCGATCATAGGAGCACCTCATAACCCACCACCCATCGTGATCCAAGCGCCCAAGCACGGAATCGCTTTACCCCGCAAAAAACAGTTCACTGCGCGTGCCGCCGTGGGCCGAGACTGACGCGTGCAAGTCAATGTCGTATCTGGCCAGAAAAATCGGGCGCATTCGTGGCTGACTCTGCCAAAGACCAACAAACGTGAAACACGGATCAGACATGTGTTGACGTCAGATCTGGCTTGGTTCCCATGCTGATGGACCCTTGTATTCGTTCTCCGCAACGATGAGATGTGGGTTTTCGACATCGTCGCAGTGAGGATAATGGGAGCAAGACGCCTGTTGCTCTTGACCTCTTTACGTTTTACGAGCCAAGACCAATAATAAGCCTCTACGCCAGCTCGGATAAAAAACAGTATACATGAAAAGATCGCAACAGTCCAACCTCCTAACCTACCTGTTTTTATCTAACTCGATAAGATTGTGCATCAAAATATTCATTCATCATCATCATCCCAATCATCCTCTTCTTCTGAGTCACTCTCCTGACCCAGGCTCTTATTCCTCTGCGAAAGCGCTGCAGCCAGTGCTCCGGCAAGATCACTTCCTCCCGCAGCAGCGGGAGCAGCGGGGGCAGCAGCGGTTGGGGAGAATGGTTCTTCTCTTTCTGCAGGAGTCTGGGGATAGGTCAGTATGACAGCACGGGCCAGGAAAATGGTGAACGAA